TACCTAGAACTTGAAGTCAGAATCCAGCTGGGGTTTGAGTTGGCTGCAGCGCGAGCTAGCAATGAGGCCCGAATGCAAACAAATATATCCAGTGGTCCTGGTAGATTGCCTGCGCCATAGAAATCTATGGTTCGAAATTTGCAACCCTGAGTTCTAGACGCTCCTCTTAGCATCTACAGAAACGCTGGTGCTGTTGCCTTTTGTGTTGTTCCAAGAAAACAGCTCAGCACGGCTTCTTCTCATCTACACATCCCGTGCCGGGGCACGCAATTGTGTCCTGGCCAGAGGAAGTTCAAAGTCACTCCGAAGCATCTGATCAGGAGCGCGTCGTTAGCAGCTCGCCCTGTGCATATCAGCGCGTTTTCAATGGGCCCGTCTGGACCATTCTTGTTTCCACTGTGGAAGCCCGCCATAGAAAAAGTCAGAGAGATCCTAGAATCGCTCCGGTGAGTAGCGAGTTGCATTGAGCTTAGAGCCGCATGTTCGCTACATTTTCCACTATTGACCAGCGAACCACACAAATTTGTGGTCAATGCTGCACCGGCCCACTTGGAAGAATGTTGTGTAAGATTGATTAAACTAAGTAGCACAGTGGGACAAGGTAAACAGTGTTGTGACCAGGATAGTGGGACAGTAAACCAATTAGGTTGAACATTGCACGGACATTCCAAGCCAGGGTCCTGCTTTTCGTGGCTTTCCTTAGGAGGGTTTCCTGAAGGGTGATGAGGACAGCTGCTGGTGTTGGGGGCACAATCAAAAGCCAGTGCAAGCAGAAGTGTACCTTGGAAGTTTGCGCACTAAGTTTGACAATAAGGATGGGGAGGATATCAATTGGACGGACGTAAAGTCCTTCAATCATGAGGACAAGGGGTGACTTAAACAAATGGCATTGCTAGAAACAAACTCAGCAGCTTTACAGGGACGCACAAACTTATGCAGCAAAGAACTTGCATTTAGCATCTCCGCTGCATGTGGTCTTGGTAGCCGGAGTGATTGACAGTAAGAGAGGTGGTTGTTAGTCAATTTTGAGAGAAGGTCACCCAAGTGTGATCTAGTGGCCCGAGACTCAGCAGGCAAACGACTGAATAGAAAATTGAAGGGTTGGGCGTTCACCTGTTTTCTGCATCTGCCCATCTTTCTCTTCTAGTCACGATTTGCTGCAACAGCCAAGTACTACCTTTTGATTGACATGTTGTGTAGTCACAATTACATGAGCCCCTCAGCCTAAGACCTTTCTACAGTTTAGTCGGATACAATTTCCTTATATTAGGCCAAAGATGTCACTCTCTTACATTCAACCAGCGCCGGCCATAGGTCCTGTACGTTACCTTGCCCATGTTCATTGGCAGTCCCTTGCACGTTGTAGCTGAAACTTGCCAAAACCTCGAGATCCCACAATTCTTTTAAGCTTTGCCTTTCGAGTCATATGATTCATTATTGCTCACTTGCAGGGACGACAACTTCTCATATGATGCGGACCTGGTCGGTACCACCAGGGGGGGTGTTGATGCCGTAGAACCCCTGCGAAAGAAGCGCTTTCAAATCGACCACAATCAAGTATGCATTGGGTCAGGAGAGGCGGCCTTCCAGCGCGCCAAAAAGGCGGTGCGGGATTGGAGGTACGTACTGCTTGAGGGATGCACGTTGTTCTGGTTGACAATCTTGTCCTGTTAAGACAGAGACTTCCTGTTGTTTCAATCGTAGCAACAACCCGACCTTTATGGGAGCGAGTATCACGTTTCAAAAACAGATCGAGGGACGGAATTGTTCTAGATTCTGGAAAGGCTTTGGCTATGACATCACCAGCGTTAGCCAACGCAGTTCCGAAGCCTCCAAGTTTTCGTCCATCGCTTTCGATCGACGCTTGCGCATTGCTTCAGATGAGTTGTTGGACTCGTTTGAGTGTTGCGAGGCCTCTTTTGGTTTTCGGACTGTGAAGCAGATTTCCGAAGAGAGATTAGGTTTATAATTTGTGTTGCATAGCTCAATCTTTCCTCGTTCCCGAATCGTTCCAGCATTTCGTAGAAGAAATCTTGCATCTTTATCTACTGGATACAAAGAGAGCCTGGCGAAGCATTGTCTTGATCACTTGAGCGGTTGCTTGACCAAAGTGTCCACGCATTGAAGCGTCTCCTCGACCAAACAAAGCGCTTCCTCCATCTGGTGCTTCTTGTTCCCCCTGATTCAGACAAGCTTGCCCATGAGCTGACAAAGAGTTTGCTGGACCACTTGGATCGGTTCGAATAGAGAAGATTCTCAACACTGTCTTGTCAAGCACAAGTGTGTTGAGAAAACAAAGAATCAGGAGTGATCACAGAAGGTGTTGCCTTCCAAGTTTCGACAGTTGCCTTCAGTATTCCCGATCGGAGGCACTTTCAACTAGGTTTTGGGCCACCTCAGACCCCAACGCCCACCTTCGGGAGCGCAGGCACATCAAGAGTCTTCAAACGCTTTTGCCTCCTGTGTCCTCCTCCAGTCACTTCCAACTAGGGTGGGCCACCGTAGACCCCGACCTTCCAATCCGGGAGCGCGCGCGCATCAGCATATCTTGGTAGCATCACAAGTTATAGGCTTTTGTCTCCTGTTTCCACTTGCAGGCACTTCCAACTAGGGTGGGCCACTGTAGACCCCGACACCCCCATCCGGGAGCGCGAGCGCGTGGCGGTGGTCGCTCGGTCGTTCGGCCTCGTGTGGACGCTTAACCCGCTGCAGATATTGTACGTGGATGACGGCACAGATTCGCCGTCTACTTCGAGCACTCGGGAAGAGAGCTCGACCAACGAGAAGAGAAACGGAGGAAGTCGTTCTGGGGGTAGAAAAGCTCGGGCGAAAGTAGGCCCCGGGGCCGTTGAGCGGGAAGAAGGGTTGTCTGGGGGAGTCTCGACGAAGGCGCGGTTTGCGTATGGGCACGGGACGTTGAAGGGCCACCTATTGGTAAGTCGACTTAGTCCGACGCTTTAACTCAACAAGTTTTACGGGGTTTCTGACTGAGCCTGTAAACGCGCATTTTTGGCGTTGCCAATGTGGACGGAAACCGTTAGGAGTTTCGACGCGCCCGGTCCGGGTACCTGCAGTTGAGGAGACTCCGCTGTGACTAACTTGTGCACACGCTTTGATTACGCAACCCGAAGTGTCCAAATGTTTCCCGAACGGGTGCTTTACGCGGAACAAGCTACCACGACTTTTTTCCCTTCAGAGCGGCGCCCCAGAATCGTTCTTGAACATGGAGTAGATTATGCGCACCAGAACTTGCGCACTTAGGCCCCCAAAGCTTCTCTTTGATATGCTGGAGTGAGCAGCTGACTGCCTCAGAAGCCAAACGCTCTCAAGAACGATCTTGCGGTGGCAGCGAGGATTTTGCATCTTGATGCATCTTAGGATTCGTGGCTCAAAGATTACTGAGATGAGTACTACAGGAAAAGCTGCCTTCAGAGGCCCAGGGTTACTTATGTGGGTTCATTCGGGAATCAGAAACCGTGTGAAGTCTTGCTTCAAATCTTTGTTCGTGAGCTTGCAGTCAGGGGAGGAACGCTTCCTCGTAGAATGGCGGGATGACGACAGCGTTTGGTACGACATCCTGGCCTTTTCCCGTCCGGGCCACTTCCTTGCGGCGGCGACTTATCCTGCAGCCAGGTTCTATCAGCGACAGTTCGCAAAGCAGAGCATGAGAGCGGTTCAAGCTGCTGTCGAGGAGGATCCAGATTGATGACTTGATGGGAATAACTGACGATGTTTGATGTTGGGAAGAAGCCTACATTAAAGTTCCGTCTTTTCCAGAATGCACTGACCTTGGCTGGGCTCTAGCATTGTAGCGGCTCTCGATGGGCGCTTAACCAGCCAGACCTGATTCTCAAGCAATTCGTGGACCCTGAAATGCAAACTGGCAATTCATGATAATCTGACTGCTGGTGCGGCTGCTAGCCATGCAACTGCCCTATTGGATGCATCGTATTGGAATAGACGGTGGCGCAAAATGTCAATCTGAGCTCGCATGTTCGACCATCATCCGCATGTGTCACAAGCTCTGCATCTTAAGTATCAGTGCGCCATCACATGATGACGTCCTTCATGCAATCATGACTCAGTCAAGTTGTACACGGGCTAGTCACAATATTAAGTTCGGACAGACTCATAGTGACAGTAGTCACCAACGTTACCTTCGAGTAGTGATTTAATTGTCTGAGTAATAATTCCAAAGGCCGGATCGACTCGATATCGCAAGAGCGGTCACGCATCGATCATGCATTGCGGCGCGAACTCAATCGCAAGAGCAGATGCGCACGTGCAGCCAGCCACTTGACCTCGACGGTGCAAAATGCGAACTTCGTTGCGTGATCACACACATGTGCGCCTATAGCTAGAGGTTCTTATGAATCAATAGAGTAGTATACAACGACACAGGCAAGGAATCTATCAATGTCATCATCCATGGCCATGTGCCACAAGTGCGATTGGATGATGACCTCGACCACTTCAACAATACAGTCATCGGAATCATTATTGAGTTGCTATGGTCTGTTTCCAATCGAGCTGGCTCAATGGAGGCCCATATGCAGAATGATGTTGCGTGTTCGGCGGCTCATCATTCGCACTCTGATTTACCTTGGCTGTCCTGATCTGCTCATGCAGTGTCACAAGTGCTCAACCTGACAGCTGTCAATCATGTCCCATTGGAAGGAACGAACATTTCGCTTTGTAAAGACCTTGGAGGGACCTCCGTGTCTACCTTTCTCTTGAAACCTTGCTTCAAGCTACTCTGATAACCAGCAACACCAAAACTGCTGAAACTCGATCACCCTTTCACCTTGTCCTTCTTGGCTCAGAGAGTGGAGTTCAGGTAAAAGTATGTACCAGCCAACACAACGATGATTCCTCCGATAACCGCGGGGAGGGGGCTGCAAAGAACAACGTGCGGATCAATGTAGAGTATGTTGATGAGTAAAACGTTACCATAAGAAAGGCAAAGCCCGGTAAGCCTTGTGTGCACGGGCCGGAAACTAACGGTGGATGCCAGGTTGCCGTCTCCTTGAGCTCAGCTTGATCAAGTATGAAATACAGCACCTTTTGCTCTTTTTGCTTCTTTTGAGAGGGCGCTTCATCTGATGGTGCATTGTGCAGTCAGACAGTACTTCGGCCATCATCAATTCCTTCCCTCTTCTAACCATGTCAAGCGAGATATCGAAAGTGTTATGCATACCAAGACAAGCCCGTCTTTGATGCAATCAGCCATTAAAAGCTGCTGGCTGAGAGCCTGTGCTTAATTTCACAAGGCCTTTGCATTATCCAACCTTGATTGCAGCACATTTCTGTGATGGCCCGTCCAACCAGACCTTTTGTTGCAGAGCCTTGATGCAGACAGTCAGCAGGCTCCGTGGGCCCCGCAACAAGATGGAACCCACAAACATCCCAGCGTGTTTATGAAACTGGTGCAAGAAACAGGACTTACTTTCCGGCATCTTTGATCTCAGCCTTCCTTGCTTTCCGGACATCCAATTTGTTTGCGTCTCTTGCCACAGGGGCCGTGTAGGGCTTAAAGCGCCTCTTGGGAGAAGAGCATACTGCAAAAGCAACCAAGAATTTCAGGCAACAGGAACCTTCTGTGAGCAAGGGATCGAACCTGCGGAATCACTCCAATGTTTGCAACAGATTCTCTGAATATCAACATGCAAAGCAGAGGAATGTAGACTTTCCCAATGTCGACCGATTCTTTGGGGTCAGCTCCGAATCCCCGCGCATTTGGCGGCCAGCTTGGAACTCATAACCTCAAGCTGCAAGCTGACTTCCATACCTGGGCAAGAGTACTCCCTAGGCAAAGAATCAAAGGGCTTGCGCTCATTGTAGATATACCCCTGCGGAGAGAGAAAAGGTATCCTCATCAGTGGCAACAAGGTTTGGCGTCGACGGAGGACTGCTTGGGTCTCCAGCTTCCCATCTTTGGTCCCAAGTACACACAGAAATCTCTCTTTGCAGCTGAAAACGAGTACGATCTGTGTAGTTCCTCAGCCACATGGTCAAACAAAGTCTTGCCTATGATCTGGAGGATTGCAGATGGGAATCTCACTCCTCGAACAACGCAAAACCGACGGTGCAGGCACTGCAGTTTTTGTGCAGAATGCGAGGAAACGTGGTTTGTTGTACCAAGCATGATTGGTGCCAAGACATTTGCCATGTGCTTTTGTGTGAGCATCGTTGCACTGGTCCATCCTCCAGCTCAGCACAAACGGGGATGCCTTGCACAGTGTGAATTCCACATTCAAGTAGCAAAGCTATAAGAAGCTGAAACCCAAGCTGAAACCTCAGAAACCTCAGAAACCTCAGACCTCATGGGTGAAGGATGCATATGTCAGATCGACGATACCAACTTGATGAATCTACGGGTCTACGAATCTGCTCAAAACACGCGAACTTTCATTCGTCACCTGGACAAAAATCTTTCATGGAGGAATAAAGCAACTTGGATCGCTTACGCAGTCTTGACAGATGTATGCCTGGCCAGCTGCCCTTGGTCCTTGAGGAGGCGCCCTGCCACCTGCAGACTTTGTCTCCACTACGGGTTGAAAAGCGGCTACTTGTGAAGACGTCCTTGCAGAGAGAGCTTGGACCGTGGTGGATGCATTCAGGCCCCCTGACTGCAACTTTGCCACCCTTCGAGGGACAAGATTCGCATTTTGGCCTCCGTCAACTGATCGCCGCAGGGAAGCGCACCCCGAGAGCGCGCCAGCAGAGAGGCCGGCGCTTGCGGCAACTGCAGAAGCCATCCTCTTGGACTACGAAGGTCAATCCTTTTCACCTGTCTTTCTAGGTAAATGTCGCTTGGACTCACCGCTTGAACCTGAGGACACCAAGCTGGAGACAGCAAAAATGAATGAGCAAAAAGCACAAAGGTGGTGTGCTTTTCCAACAACCTTCACCATTGGCATGATGGCATGATCTCCTCTTGGCAACAGTTGGTCGGCGCCCGGGGCAATAAGCGGGACAAAAGCGGGTGAAGAACCGGCTATCCAGTTGTTGCCTGGAGAAGTGCGCGAGAGCTCACGCCGAAGGCGCGTGGAAAACAACGGCAGCTTGGACGCCACGGTAAACTCCCCCCGGGTGGAAGTTCCTGGCTGAGCTGGCATGACTGGCTGCCATGGCCTCAGGCTCCGTGACCAGCAGGGCTTCACCTTCTGAAGTTTTGAGTCACAGGCTTCAGGCTCAGCCAGTGAGAGGCGCTGAATTTAGTTCTGCTGAATGGATTGAGCAGAGCTCTGAAAGCTTGCATCAATTGGTAGACTTTGTAGCGGCAATTAGCTTGTCCTTGAAGGCTCTATGCTGCTGCTGTTTATAAAAGCTGCGTACACCCTTTCTTCTGAGAATCTTCAACACCGCGGCGCGGACTGCAGCTGGCCGTGTCCTGATAAGTTCAGATGCCAGTGGCAGAAGGGCGTGGCTTAAAGGTTCACCAAAGAGCTGCGCACTTCTTTAGTCTTGTCGCTGGGTTTCGCTGCATTTGAAACCTAGTATCTTCGCTCTTCACCATGAACATCATGGGCATGATTGGGGGAGTCCTCAAATACCTTGGCTATGGAGCTGGAGGTTTAGCCTCTGTTGCCTTGGTTTTGTTGGTGGCGCTTCAAGATAAGCTGGTCTATGTTCCCGTGATTCCTGGTCAGCCTAGGGAGTACCCGTATACTCCGGACAGGCTTGGGTTGGAGTATGAAGACGTCTGGTTGCGGGCAGCCGATGGGGTCAAGTTGCATGGTTGGTTTATCAGAGCCACGCCACGGCTGAGAAGCGAGGCTGCGGTCACTGGTGAGTTTGATAGTGTTGCCAGCAGCTCATTTTGTGGATCTTCTAGCGAGCTAAGTCCATTAGAATGTTTTGGTGTTGTCCAGACACTGTTAGAATCCACGAAGGAGGGGGCACATTCAGACAGCTGCGCTGCATACGACCTTCTGGAGGAATCTTCGAACTTGATTGAAATATTGTAAAAGAAGAGCATTTCAGGGAGAAGCCTTGACCCTCTCTGCCTTGAAAGCATGTTCCACACTGCGGCACCCCTGCACTAACTGCTGATACACTTCTGTAACTCAAACCATGCAGGTCCTACCGTTTTGTTCTTCCAGGAGAACGCCGGCAGTATCCATCTCAGCTGCTCGCTCGTGTCAGAGCCCCAGCCTTCTTTCCTCATGAAAATTGGCGCTTGACGTTGAACAATTTGTCTGCTCTGCCTCAACACTTTTGATGACCAGGCATGAAGAAAGGAGCCCGATGCCATTGGCTCGGTGCTTCTTATTCTCGCTGATACCAGAAGAGCATTGTTCAAGTCTCTTTCTTTTCATTGCAGAAGTTATGCAGAACCCGATCAGTTCTTTCGTTCATCTTGGTAGTCCCTTGACCCCTTAGCTCTGCAGACATTGCTCATCGCCTCGAGAATGTGGTCATGATGATCCGCCATCTGCGGTGCAACATGTTCCTGCTGTCGTACCGCGGGTGAGACTCTTCCCAAGATGGTATCTCTTAGGATGGGGCGTTTCTGGAGTTCTCGTTCTTCGGAAGTTCAGTGGTTGTTGTCTGCAGGTCAGGGGACTTTTTACATTAAATGTGTCAACCAGTGCATAGGTAGTGAAAGAAGACTAATGGGAGTTCAACGTCCGGAAGCCACCCCCTGCAGAGCTCGCTGTGAGTCCAATCTCTGATTCAGATGTGGAAGCAACCAGACGCAGGATTGTCAGCAACGCCTTGTTCTCAATACGGGTTTGCACGCCAGCCTGCAATGGGTGAGTGGTATGTGGTGTGAATCCAATGTGCAGCTATGGGGCGAGCGAAGGATCGCCGACTGAGAGAGGGCTGGTCATGGATGCACAAGTAAGAGTTGACTCTGTTGCCCCCTTCTGGATTCGGACTCATTGAACAACAACTCAAAGCACTTTGCAACATTCATAACATCTGCTTTTTGGCCCGGTTGAAGGAGGAAGCTGTGTACCCAGCTTTAAACAATAGAGTCCAAAATTTACGCAACGTTGCTGAACCGCAAGGCGCAGGCGATTCTGCTCTCAGGGTCAGCGTTGACCAATTGAGCTTGGGTAGAAGAGCGGCTAACATGGCCCCTGATTCTCGCCTCTCTTACCGGTGTAGGTTAAAGGCTGATCTAAACCCAATCATTCACAGCCTGGCGAACCACGTGTTTAGGTTTGTTTCGGCTTATAGACATCCACTCTTCGTTCGCTGCCGACACTCATTGGCACTCCAGTCAAGTTCCTTTGATTAGTTCTGCGAAACACCGAAAGCTCACAAAGAAGGGCATATGGCTATATTGCAGGCTGCGCTCGACTACTTGCTGAACAGAGAGGACATTGATCCGGACAGGATCATTGCCTTCGGACGGTCGTTGGGGGGGGCTGTTGCGACACAGCTAGCGAGGAAGAACCCAGGGGAGGTGAGATCAGGCCGTCTCACCGTTGCAAGTAACATCGACTATGGGAGAATGCTGGTGTGTATTATATCTGGAAAGCGTGATGGGAGACTATGTCTCCGTTGCATGATACCTTTGAGAACAAAGCTGTTCTCGAAAAGTTTAGAGTTGTCCCCTTGTTGGGTCAGAGTCTCTTCTTGCTCACGGGCTCCGATCCAGCAGTTTTTGCTCGCGCCTCTTTACCTCGATCGTTGCCCTGTTCTTCAGCCCTTGTACTCGGCAGAGGCCTTTTGGCACTTTCTTTTCTCCTGGTAGGACCTTAAAGTGTTTCTTTGCACCTCAACGGACTGCTCCTGTCACTGGTTCACGGAAGTCAGTCGGTTCGAGCTCCACGCTCTGATTGGCTCTCGAAGAACATGCTTGCTGCCTCTGTTAAACTCCCGTTCCACTTTCTTCTGGGACTTGACAATGGCGATCCGTTTCGGGACGAAGTACGAGAATCTCGCTTTGATTTTGCTGCTCAGTGCGCATTGGCTCAAAAAGAGCTGGCTCTCGTTACATGAAGTTCGATGTCCGACTGACCTTGAAACCTGCTCAAAATGGTTTCCGATCAGTCCTGGACACGGCACTTTGATACCTGCTGTCGCAACAGCTTTGTCGTCACCTCTGACCTTTCGAAGACGCTAAGCATCGTGATGAACATAACGATGTTGCAGGTTGCGAACACATGACGTTGCAGGCTGCGGAGAAGACTTTATATCCTGCGATTCTAAACGTTGGCTTCTCTTTCGCAGCTGAGAGCGGTCATCCTGGAGAACACGTTCACATCGATCCTGGACATGGCCGGCATCCTAATGCCCGCCCTCGGGTACGTCATCGGTGGGAACGGGTACAAGCCGCTCAACTTCCTGGTGCGGAACCAGTGGCGGACTCTCGAAGCGATCCGGGAGCTGAAAGAGCCCATCCTGTTCCTGTCCGGCCTTAAGGTGGGCATTCGTCCGCTCAGCTTTTTAGATGGCGAGGGATGCCTACTCTACACAGTGGAGCGACTGTTGATGGGAGATACTAGCCGTTTTGGTGGCGAGCAGGCCCGCATTGGAAGGCCCTTCAACATGGTGTGGAAGGGGTCACGATAGCGGTTCGCTCCACCTGACGTCGAAAACCCCCGGGATGAAACGTCTCATTCAGCAACGGGTTTTCAATGATGCCACTTTGGTCCGTGTCAAATGCCACTGAGCTCCTTATCCGCAAAACTCGACCCTCACAATCCCTGTTCTGGTCGTCGTATAATCTCCGAAAGTCTCCGAGCTTTGACTGCTGCTTGTGGGGCTTCGTATTTGTGGGGCTCCGCGTTTTCGTCGACGACCTAAGCCGTCACAGTGAGTGGTCGCTGGGGAGGCAACCCGAGCAAGTCACAATTCTTCACTCTGGACTGGGCTGTCGTCCTTTCGATTGGCATCCTTGTTGTGGCCTGACTACTACTTTTTGTGTAAGAATCTGATGCCGGTGCTCTACCCAGCTTTCAAAACAAAGTTTGAGGTCCGATGCACAAGGCTACCCGGTCGGCTGATACAGAGCTTGCTTCCAGGACATACACGCAAGCTCGCAGGTATTGATGATGTCACGAAGCGGAAGAGCCGGAGGTCGAGTCCTCTGACTTTTCTGCAGGACGAGATGATCCCCCCAGCAATGATGAAGAAGCTGTACCGCGCCGCCACCAACGCACAGGACCGTGTGTACGTGGAGTTTCCCACGGGCATGCATATGGACACGTGGCTGCGGGGCAGGGAAAGTTACTGGCAAGCGCTGCAAGATTTTCTGGGTGTACAGGGCGACACGAGGACACGGACTCTCGAATCCCAGAATCTTCGAAAGTAAGCTCTCTGAAAGTATGCTCAGACTCCTGCCGCTTGCAAGTATGCGCGCATGCAATGACGTTATATCTAGAAAGCCACCGTAAAGGGGAGGTATCTTTGATGGCAAGGCTTTCGGACGGCTACTCAGGTTGAACATAGTAAGATGCTCCAACCCCAAGCCCAGGTGCACAGATGTTGTTTCCGTATAGGAATATTAAGCAGTAAAGGTCGGGCGCTTCGTTTGAGCGTTCTCCCATGTCAAAGCACTGAGGTGTTGCATCAGCTTTGTCTGCATTTTACCACATGAACCTTTCTAAAAGTAATCACGTCAGTCGATATGTTCAGATAGACAACACTTACAGTGGCTCAGCCGCCTTAGTAGGTCGGTCTATTCCCACCAAGCATAGGATCTAAATGCAGCTTGAATGTTGGCGCTATACAAGCAAGCATATGCGGAATTGACGGTAGCTTTTGTGATCCGATCTGATAGCAACCGGACTGAAAGGATGTCAACGCCTTATCGGTCTCAAGGACGTGGCTCCATGGACATGATAGCGAGATGTTAGGTTGAACGATTATGCAAGAGTTCATGGGCCAGAGCTGTAGATTCTGTACCATATCAATCAAAAGGTGTCAGATTTATGCCTTCATGTCAACTGATTCGAAGTCTGATACTCTATCATGCAATGCTGACGGCTTGATTACCACTAAAAGCATTTGGTAGGCCGAGCATAGACTATAGCATTTGAAAACCAGGCAAGCTACAAACACATACGCAACAAATGTGTAAGCAGACAATCATGTCCAAATGAGACAAGAAGGCGGCCCATGAGAGCGCACGATGTGAAGCTCTTCCATGAAGATTTGGATGCAGCTTTTGGAAAGATATTTTGGCTGCTGGCTGCAGGCTTGATGGACCATGTCTGACCATTTTTCAAAGGTTCTAATGTTAGTAGAAAGGGCGGAGGTTTTGAAAAAGCAACGGTCCCGCGCAACAGTATTGGCTCGGCGGCTTGCACTCTTATATCTGATTTGCCATCGGCATCCCATCATGATGTGCAAGTTGATGACCTTTTGACGCCTAGTTGCAGGTCAGAATCTTCCGCTGCTGCCTTACCAAGCATGACATTGCTGGCTGTCAACGCTATTGAGCGAGCATCTATTGGTTCCGATAAGTCAAAGCCCATCATCTCCATATCAAGTTCTAGAGGAGTTTTTGGATAGTGGGTTGCATGGAAGAGTTGGGCATCGGTTGGGTACTATAGATGCAGCGGAAAGACCTGGTAGCTGCCGCCGGAAAGTGGGCAATCGATTGCATGTATGTGTACCGTAGATGCAGAGCGGACTCTTCGCCCCCTCGGCGCAAAAGGAGGACGCGCGTCGCACCTTTCCACCTTCCAAGCTCGAGGGAATGAGGGGGATCCCTTCAAAGGAGAACCATTGATAGGGCCTCTTTGGGAAGATCGACGGTAACTTAGCACCACATACCTCTGGACACGGGGTCAAAATCGGGCGGCTGACAGTGAAAGGCCTCGCGGCCGAACCAAAACATCGAGAAGCATGCATTTGTGGCTCGAGTCGTGCCACCTGGCCAAGCTTCATCACATGAAAATGGTCGCGTACTTCCGAGGATCTTGTGGCTCAGAAGCAAGGATGAATCCTGGTGGGCAAACTTTCACGTGCTTGCAGTGCAGGATGGTGTGCATGCTGAAACTCTCCTCGCATCGCAGCCGTCCCAAATCAGAGGCTCTGACAGCTGCGGATCATGCATCCGAAGCTTCTCGAGCAATGCTTCTCGGCCTCAAGCTGAGCTGTCGCGTTTTGAAAGCCTCACAGACTGAGAGAGGATCTTGGGATCTCACAGTTCCGACTTCTCGAGCATGTCCGTGTGGAAACACTTGATTAAAGCGTGGACGACTGATATATTGTATTGTATATGTAGTAAGTATACCTGCACATGCTGGGGCCTAAAGTCCAGGCCTTGATTGGTGAGGAAAGCCGAAAGCACCTCACTCGCTTTTGCGAACATAAGACTTATAGCCTCAAACCACAGCATTCCATTCCATCAGACAGTCAGCTTACAAGCGTTCACCGATCCTGCTTATCACAATCACGCTCAGCGCTCAGCATTGTCTCCTGCGCACCCTTCCACCACCAAAGGCGCAAGCTTGCAAACCAGCGCAGCCGCGAGAATGTCTCCTGCGCGCAGGTACTGCAGTGTAAGTGACTCCCTGATCACCAAGCCCAAACCGCGGTATGCCTACCTCACTTTCCTGGTGGACGGGTCTGATTACTGGAAAGGAGCCCTGGCTCTGCACAAGAGCCTGCAGCTGGTAGGGAGCAGGTACCCCCTGGTGGTTGCAGTCACAAAGGAGGTGCCAGTGAAGCTGAGGACGCTGCTGTCGTCCCATGGTTGCCTTATTCGCGAGATTGAGGTGAGGAGAAAGTTGTCAACTGTTTGGAAGTAGTTCAAGAACACTGCAAATGCTCTAGTCTGGTTTACAACCCTCTAGATTCCGTGTGTGACACAATTGTTTGTTCAGGTGTCTGATCACTCAGCCTGGGCCAGACAACACAGTAATCGGTTGCCTCAGCTTGATGAGGTGGTTGCCTGACGATCTTTGTTTGCCAGGTCCACTATCATGGACAGCAAACATTGCTGTCTTGAGGGTTGCATATGGCTGATAGGCCTGAATTCCTGAGGGAACAGAGAGTCGCTGTACCGAGATGTAAGTTACAGATCTGTGTAGTATCTGACCACTCGACGGGGTGTGATCCTTGGCTGCTTTCTTTCTCAAAGAAAGACATTGTCTAGGTACATTGTCTACATATCTTCATTCAGTGGTGTGTTTCCCCATTTGAGAGGCAACCAGATTCTTTTCAGGTGTTTGTTTATTCATTTGAGAGGCAACCAGAATGTTCTTTAGTTGTTTCTTTCTCTTTCTTTTTGTTCATCTTCATCTTCTTCTTTCTTTTTGTTCTACCCTGGGAATATACGACATCTACCTTGTAGAGTAGCAGATCTCATGGTAGAACAAAGTGTTTGATTGATGCAGCTGTGCTTTCAGAAGCAAATCAAAGTTTTAAGAAGGAGCAGCCTGCGGCACTCAGTGACGAAATGATTGTTTTGAACAACAACCAAATGGATTTGTTGAGGAACAGGTGAATTATATGAAGCCTGAATTGGATGTTAATTGTCCTTTGTCTGCAGGACGTGGCGCTACCTGAGAGCTACACACCTGACAAGTATCTGCAGCCATACTACATCACGCAGTATAAGAAGCTGCGCTTCTGGGAGCTCACAGAGTTTACCAAGCTCTGTTACTTGGATGCAGATACCATTGTGCTCAAGAATCGTGATCACCTGTTCGATCTGATTGACAGCCCTTCTGAGATTGCAGGTATGACATTCTCTGCCCGACTGACTCTCCCACGCTTTGCAGATGCGTCCTACTTAGCTGGCCAACAGGTTTCGCGCCTCCATACACTATTCCGTGTCGCAGAATCTGAACAACCATCTCTGATCTTTGGTTGTATTTGGCCTCAGGTCGTATCCAGCGCAGATTGAGGGATTGCGGAAGCTGCCAGATCAGACGCGCTTGTAGCCACACGTCAAGTTACCCAACACAGAGCAGCAACTTTGCATGTAGAATTTCGGACAAATCTGCAGTAAATCCATCTCTGAAGTCAAGTCCCTCTCTAAAGTCCCCATCATTCCACTCAGTCACTGAAGGTTCCCATCTCTGTCTCTGTCAGGTGTCCAAGACTGCACGTGCGAGGGCTACAAGTTCCACTACCGCCTCTGCAACACCAAGTACTGCCAGATCGAGCCTTCACGTGCTCCCTGGACCTTCCCTGATGGGAAGCCCGTTCCAGCGCCCTACATCAACGCCGGCTTCTTCATGCTCATGCCCAATCAGAAAGTTGCCAAGGACTTGGTCGCAAAGCTGTGGGAGTTCCCACCGACGGGCCTGGCAGAGCAGGACTACTTGAACCACTATTTCGAGGGCCGCATCAAGTGAGTAACGTTGGACTTTGTTTATGCTCCTGTCACAGGGCCGGATTCTGTGTTAGACGCGCGGATATGGAATGTTGGACTGAACGCTGGGAAGTCATTTAGATTGGACAAGGGTTTCCGTTCAGAGCTAAACCTGTCCTTGAAGTGTCATGATGCATGCCATCTAGAGATGTCCCTCTCGTGGACGTCTCTTACAGGCTTTGTGATCCGAGGAGCAGTATCAAAATTGTAGTGCCACATATTTGACACAATGTGAGCTGGAGTCACTTGAATCTTAGACTCTAGGTGCTCTGAGACTCTATCTCAAGACCCGATACGTGATCTTGCAGGATCCTTCCGCTGGCAAACAACCTGATGCTTTGCAACTTTTGGAACCACCCCACCAAGGTCTCCGTGGAGACTGCTGAGGTAAGCAGTTTGCACATCCTTTTCGAGCACACAACAGGCAATTCAGGCTGGCTGCATTCAAGACGTTACTGGCTGGTCTTCGCATTGCTGCAAGCCAGAAGTCTTATACTGTCGACCTCATGCTCGGCAGCGTGTTCAAAATGTACTTACTCCCCCAGCTTCTTATGCTCTCAAGGAATGGTCCAACTGCAACCGTAGGCGTTGCTGATGTAGCGAGTGTGATATTCTTCCTACCAGCAATTGCTGAGGACATTCGCGAGCAGAATTTTCCAACATTTTATCGAGCCTGCAGCTCTTTCATTGATAGTAAAGCTCAAAGTTTTGAGCTCGCGGATCTTCTGAACAGTGTATGGTCGAAGCGAAGGTTTCTGCCATTTCGATGTTTGAGTTTTACTGAGTTCCGGACTGACATGGCAATGCTCTTCTCCCTGCAGATGGTTCACTACTGCGTTGCCGGTTCCAAGCCTTGGCGCTTCGACCCCAGTAAGCCCAACATGGACCACCCAGCCGTCCAGGAACTTGCCAAGAAGTGGCACGAGATCTACGGAACGGATACGACGACACCCTTGGGGGCAGTCTCACCGAATTCCGCCACCCTTAAAGCAGTCGTAGCAGCAGAGCGACCGCTGATGAGCCGTTCAACTGTAGGGGGTGTGCGTGTTGTAGCTTAGGGTGCGTGTAGGATCGTACATACATAAACAGCCGTCAAAGTTTTGCAATCTTTCAGGTTCTTAAAGGCGAAACCTTACGAAGAAAGTGTTGACTTCGAGTCCATAGAAAGTTTTAGGTTGGGACACCGAAGGTGTTGCCAGAAAACCATGACGGCTTTAATAAACACTTGCATGCAGAAAGCATTGCGTTGTCTTATGAGAAAGCTGGAGCTGACCCGGTGGAACATTACTAACGCATAGGGACGGGGCAAGAAGGAAGCATCAGTTTCCCTCCGGTAAACTAGACATGTGACCGATTTAAAGATAATCAATGTGCACATACGTAGGCACGACAAACACTGCAGATATGAACACTGATTGATCCTCGCATTATTATGGCTTATATTGAATCGCGTTTTGTTGCTTCGAGATGTTGGATTCTAAGTACAGCGGTGTCAGTATCTGTAAACGCTTCTCCTGAGAAAACCGCTGCTCAGTACGTTCAACGAAGTCGCGCGGTTGTTCTGAAAGCAGTAACTGAAATCTCAACCACTTCACGCGTGTTCGTGACAATATCAGTGACGCAAATCATCGAGTTTCTATGTGTCTATGTTTACCAGATTGACGGCTGTTGTCCACATTCGTCAATGTGGTCAACATTCATCGGCTAGGGGGGTGGATTAGACAGGATTGCATGCTATAGTTTGATGAAGGCTCATAGTCGTTGCAATGTTTGGTGGCATCCGGTTTGCTTGCATTAGGTTACGGACGTTACGAGGCTGCATGCAGCAGCGACGCCTTGTGGCACGACATTCGATCAAGGTTAGGCGTGCATGTGCCTGTTCGACAAACTCGAAATGGGAGACACAATCATGATGCCGATTTGATCAAGGCAGCGAGGCATGTGTTTGCGGCAGCGAGGGCCCGGCTGGCCTCAAGGCTTCTCATGCATAAGACGTATTTCAGGGCCAGTCACGGACGCACAAATACAAGGATGCTCGCGTGCCGGAAGCACGTAAGGTCAAGTACTTTGTTGCAGAGACCAGCCAAGTTCTCGGCCTGCAAACAGCGGAACCACCGTGCCAGTGGCAAACGGATACTCATCCGGCACTGTCCAAGTTTGCCTCCTAAGTGTGACCTTTTTGCTATTTCGGGGAAGGCGGTAAAAGTCCGGGCCGAAGAAGGACGCAAAGCCCTCGAGCTTGTCGAGAGCGCCGACCTGCAACAGACGGACAGCGGATGAGAACTGGGTTGAAACGCTCTTGGAAAAAGTCTCAGAACCGCATGTACAAAATGGGTTGAAAGACTGACATGCGCGTTCCAAGGGGAAGGCATACGCCATCGACAATAAAAGAGCCGGTGTTCGGAAAGGCCGTTGTCTGCGAGAGGAGTCGGCCGCAGCACCTGGTTTGTAGCAAATCACACGGCTTGGCACCACGCAGCGTGTCAATGATAGCTTTTCGTGCTGACATGTTCCTTTTGGTTCAGATCTGAAAATTGAAAACCGGACTAAGGAGCTTCCTCGACCCTCACGCTTCCTCAGGACCCAGGTATCAGGAGAAAACCACGAAGAGGCAAAAATGAGTAGCTACATTGAATCAGTACGTAGAGCTCAAGCGTGTCCAATCGCCTCCACTGCAGCGATGGATTGGGCTACAGAGCCGAGTGACACAATTCCAGGAACAAAAGCCACAAAGATTCAAGAGAAGTTGACAATATCCTGGAAGGAAGAAAGTGAAGACAGGGAAAAAGGGACGCTCTGCTCCCGGACAGGACCCCTGGGTAATATAGTATAAGCAATCACAATCTGTTCACAGCCCTTACAACGATATCAAATCTACATATCATTCGCAAAACTTTCTTCACCGCTCTCCATGTGTCAATTTCGGTTAGTCGAACCCACCTCCTCGAAGGCGGTAGCATACAACTCCAGCGCTGCGTGTGCGGAGAAGCAGCCCGCGCAACCGCAGGGCGCCTCTTTGGTGCCGCGCTCGTGCGGCGCGCTGTCGGTGCCCAGGAAGAATTGCGGGCTGCCCGAGGTGACCGCACCGAGGAGGGCCTCCCCTGCACACGTAAGCACACGTCAGCACGCGTCGGCACAAGCGGCAGGAAACAACGATGATTTGCAAGACGGCGGAAAAGGGGCCAGAAAGGGTAGAAACTCACCAAGAAGCGTTGGATGGCTTCTCATGGTGCTCCCGTTTACAAAAGAGCGAGACAGCGAACGGCGACGAGACAAAAGATTGCCCCGAAAAGCACGGCACAGCTCTGCACTGTCGGAAAGAATGTCGGAAAAATGCTTTCTGACAATTCTGCTCGTCAAGGGCTCTTCTCTTCTCCTAAAAGCTGCTCTGAGCTTTCAAGTCTCAGAGTGGGCAGTGGGTGAAAGCGGAGGACTTGCAGAGGAGCACGAAAGCTGCCAGTGCTCCTCCCGCTTGAGGACAGTTGGATGAAAGAGCAGCGAAACGCCCACACTGGATGAGAAGCCCCAAACAACAAGCGCAAAAGCAAACTGAATGACGAAACGATTCGCTCACGGTGCTCTTCCCGCTTCAGGATGGGTAGGCAGAAGTGGTGCGGGCGAACGCCCCCCTGGAAGAGCGCGTTGCGGTTCAGCAGCAAGTGCTGCGGCGTCACGGTCGCGCCCACTCTAGTTGCGTCCTGGGAGCGAACAAATTCGACGGCTTCCTTGGTGGTCGCGTGCTCGACGACGCAACGGAGGTCGGGTAGGCGGGCGAGCAGGGGGGCGAGGACGCGGTCCAAAAAGAGGCGCTCCCGGTCGAAGATGTCGACGGAAGGATCGGTTACTTCGCCATGTACCTGCGGAGGGGAAGAGATTTTCACGAAGTCGGCGTCTCGAATATGGCGTCGGTATATTTATGAGACTGCGATTTTATTGTGTGCGAAGAGGGTGATGACAACGGTCGAGAAAGAGGCGCTCGCGGTCGAAGATGTCGACGGAAGGGTCGATGACCTCGCCATGTACCTCGAAAAAGGGGATTTGAGAAAGTATTTTAACGAAGTCGGCGTCTCAGCTTTGGCGTCAGTGTACCGTATGAATCTGCAATCATTAAAAGTGCGAAGATGGTGATGAAAGCGGTCCAAAGAGGCGCTTGCGGCCGTAGATGTCGACGGAAGGGTCAGTGACCTTCCCATGTACCTGAAAAAGGTACCTTCCTGGATAAGGAGGGGGGTCCACAAACTTTGACGAACACTTTCAAAAAGTCGGCCTTTCAAAAAATGGCATCGGTAAGAGTGTATTGTATACCGATTGCGGAGGAAGGTCACGGAGGCGGTCCGGAAAGAGGCGCTTGCGAACGAAGATGTGACCGAAGGGTCGGTGACTTCCCCACATACCTGGAAAAAGTTCAGTCTTTTTGTGAGGCCAAAAGGGTAATTCAGACGGAAGAACGACGTTGGCAGTTCAGTAGTGAGGTCAATCACTGAAGTCGATGGGTCCTAGTCGATTAGCTTCTGATGAGGTTATCGAACGCTCGGCTTTGAACGAGGTATGCGAGGGTTGGCGTCTCAAAGTAAAAGTTCCAAACCTGAAAAGTTGTTGAGTGCAGAGGGAGTGATGAAGGCGGTCCAAAGAAAAGCGCTCATGGGTGACAATTGTGGTAAGGGCCGGTGACTTCGCCATGCACCTGAGGTGGGCTTTCACGAAGCTATTGCAAACCTTCTCGAACGGTAGGCATCCCAGTGCATCAGTAATTGTCTCTGTCCTCAAACGGATTCGATCAGGCTCTGGGAAGAGGGACTTGCGATCGAAGATGTTGGCAGGAAGGTCCGCCTTATGCCGCTTGTAGCTGAAGCGGAGACCTAAGCGCTAGGCTGTTTTCTGTATTCGAATATTTTGCAGCATGGAATCGGAAAGTTTGCAATGACTGCAGTTGCCCCACAAAAGCAAAGACCTATTACTGAAACAGAAGCATTTTAGTCGTCGCTGTTGACGAGCGGCTCGTTGATGCAGCCATGCACTGGCGAGGCCACAAGAAGACTTCAAATATATTCCATCTCACAAGGATGAATTGATTTCAGAGTGTGTGGTCAAAAGGAGGGGAGCCACGATCGAGAAGAATGCGCTCAAAGCAACGATGCTTTCTCCTCAGGTCCAGAACGGTTCGGATGATTCGGAGTGGCTTTGAAACTTGACTGAGTTCGTGTTGCGATTTAGTTATGCGTTCCTTCTGGAGAAGCATGGCATTGATGCATGTACAACTGATACGCTCATTTTTGGAATGTCGAAAGATAAACTACTTACACCAGTTGAGTACGATGCTTGATTCAAAGCTCAGAGCGTAACCTCCTTGCAAAATCGCTCGACATCAGCGGCATAAAGCCACTGCAAATAGGCCGCAGTTCTTCTTTGTCGTCACAAAAGCTCTGCGATCCTACTCACCAGCAGCGGAAGACCGTGTTCCACCATCGCCTCTAACGCCGCCATGCATTTGTCGAGGCTCGTAACCCCCGCCGCAGAGTTCGTCGTAGCGCCCGCGGGGTACAGCTTAACCGCGTACACGATCCCGCTCTCCTTTGCTTTCCGGATCTCGTCGGCAGTCGTTTTGTCGGTCAGGTAGAGGGTCATCAGCGGCTGGAAAGGGGTGTCCTTTGGGAGCGCGCTCAGGATGCGCTGGCGGTACTGGATGGCGTCCTCTGTAAGAGCGCATGCGAATTAGGTCAATCTCAGATCGAGTATCTTTTCTGACCGGTGGCAATCGTTTTAGAAGAGATATTGGAAGAGGCCATATCGATTATCTTATCGAGTCTTGCAAACTTACGAACTCTGAGGGCAAGGACCTTCTACAGATCTTTTTTCAAGGCTTCTTTACTGAGGAGCCTGGTTGTATCCAGACCGCAAGCGGTCCGACAAGTAGAAATCGCACGAGTCCGATTCCGGACCAAAGTGACGCTTTTCTGCGAGGAGATCAGAATACCAAATCTTTGAAAAGCTTCACGTGACTTCCAATTCCATAAGACAGAAACCAGCACCCTCATCAGCTTCCGGACACAAGCCTTTCAGCTCCAGTTTTCCCTATTTCAAAGCGCAAATACTGAGCACCCCGGGCTCATCAGTCATTTTCTGGAGCGTCAATTCGTCTCAAGGGTAACTAGCAGATAATTCGTAGCATTGTCAATAAATTCCGATGACTTCCCAGCTCAGAACATAGGGACTCTAATGCTTCCTACCTGTGCTGACGACCGGGGGTTTCAGGTTTGGCATGATGATGGCCCGCCCAAACTGCGCCGCAGAGTGCTGCACACACGACTGCATGGCGGGCCCGTCTCTCAAGTGGAGGTGCCAGTCATCGGGCTGGGTTATGGTCAGACTTTCTGGAGACTGCTTTGATACTGACTCTTGTCTCCTCTCTGGAGCTGCCACCGATGCCCGAACCGTGAGACTTCTGAGGTTGGCTCGTTGTAGAGTGGCGAGACGCAACACTTGGTGGAGGCATTTGCTGGCTGACTGGACCTGCATTAAGAGAGGAACTTTTGTTGAAGATGGTTGGAGGCACCAGATGAAGAGGAGAATGACTGTTGCAAAAAGACAGCATGGGAGCAGGAGCACCTAAAACTCCTGTTTCAAAGTATCTGAGTTCTCTTTCCCTCTACATAAACAATTTCAAAAGAGAAGCTTTTAGCAAATCTTAGGGCAGAGCGCATGTGACCTATCCTATCGGCTCAGAATGAGGGGCTCAGCACCCTCAAGGTTGTGGGGCTTCGTCGAAACTTTCTTCATAGCTGCTGATCAGGCAATGCTGAACAGTATTGCACAGGATTCATGTGTCAATATGCGCTGAAGAAGCGAGCTATGTGAAGAAAAACCACCAACCTGCGAGACTTTAGCGAGGTTCATGTTGTCTTTCGCTTGAGACGAACCGCAGAGTTGGCTGATCGAGTGTCCCCCTTGTGAGGACCGAGAAATGTTGGTAGATTGTACTGCTGGGAACACCATCTTCAACTCTTGATCACATACTTAGTATAAACGGCGCCAAACTTGGGATCGAAAAACGGCGCAGACTCTTATGCTTTGAGGCACGCAGTTCTTAGGCCTCTTAGCTGTAAGAAAGGGGGATTGCCTTAAATGAAACTCAAATGCTGGTGCCACCCATTGGCAAAGCTTGCTGCAAGAAAGGCGCACCAACACCACCATCAGTCACGACTGCTTCTTTGTGAGCTGATAAATCACCAATTTTGGGACTTCCATGTCTGCTGACGTTCATACGAGGACAGATGCGTGATATATTCTCTCAGCAGCTCATTGAACAATCTCCTTCCTGAAATTTGTCATACTTGGACACCAGATAAGAGGGAATTTAGGCTAGCTCCAAATTCAGCAAGCACACGTCTCAATATATGGTTTGGTATAACATTCTAGATATAATCGGTATTCGACCACTGGGGATCCCCAGACAGAAAGCCAGGTTGCAGAGAATCTGATTCTTAGTACTCGCAAGAAACTTTTGAGCTAGCTTTTACCTGCAACTTCAAGGGCGCATGCTTGGAGCGCGAAGCTGAGCCGAGGCAAAGCCTGAGCTAGCCGGAGGTCAGGAGAATTGCCTTGCTCCCAGGCTTGGACTCGTCAGCAGAGAAGATGCCTGCCTCAGCTCGCTCTCGGCCGGAGGATATTGTTGAAAACCTGTCCTCTGGGGACACCTCTGCGCGCCTGAAAGCGCTGCGCGACGTCAAGAACCAGATCATTGGAAACAGGTCGAAGAAGCTTTGCTACATCAAGCTAGGCGCTGTCCCCCGAGTTGCTGAGATTCTTGCCAGTGACACAGAGACGAATCTCCTCGTCCAATCTGCAGCGGCGGTCGGCAGCTTCGCGTGCGGGATAGACTCTGGCGTCAGGGCAGTTCTTGATAGCGGCTGTCTTCCTCACCTTCTGAATACCCTTTCAAACGGAGATGAGCGGGTCGTGGAAGCGGGAGCGCGGTCGCTGCGCATGATCTTCCAGACGCAGCTTGCACCGCAGGGGGCCACCTTCTTCAGATCCGGGGGGGCGCTCGAAAATATTCTGCGGTTGCTGGCCAGTGCAAACGATGACATCTCTGAAGTAGCGGCCAGTGTGCTTGCACGGTGAGGAAGTGCATCCAGTTCCTTCCTTGACATTTCTGATTTCTCACCTGATTGCGAAGCTCAGCTACACACCTGTGGGGGAGCTCGTACTTTCCTCCTGAATCTGAATCGTACCCTTCCTTGCAACTCGAGGATGTCACCTTGCAGCTCCTTTCCAGCTGGAACCGCGTTTATTGGTATGTACACCATGATTTCGTTGTGCTTTTGAAACTATTCGGGAAGCAGTCTTTCACTGAGAAAAAGCTTGCACCACCTTGAAAGAGTCGTGCACGAATTAAGTACTGTTTGGAAAACTTAGTGCACTGGCACGTCTTGTCGTCAGGCCCTATTCACATCGTATGGTGTCACCTCCCCTATTTTGAGCTGAGATTCCCCGTAGATCTTCCACCATTTTGCGCAGCCTTGCTTCTCTCATCGGACATTCTTTTTGATCTGGACTAGGCATACCTTCCTAATGCGTGCTGTCCCCTCAGTCTTTTGGCCCTCTCCAAGCGGCATTTTGACAACTTGCGCCATGCCTTACATATGTATATCATGCCTTGCACATGTACGGACACCAAACGTTTGATACCGATTGCTGTTAGCCGTCCAGTACCCTAGAGTTGCATATAGACGGTAACTAAGCGGTGATACGCTGGAACCTCCCTTGAAGAGTTCCATACTCTGACATGATAGCTCCATTCTCGAGTGGGGGCTTGTCATTCTTGGATTCATCTATCATAATTGATCAGTAGTATAACAATATAATCCAGATGATCGATTTAAGTCTACATAATCTGCTGTTTGTGTCAAACAGTACATATCTTACATTTGCTGCCACTCCCTTTGCAGGTGCTGCGACTTCCCGGAGCAACGCGCCGCCATTGCCCAAGCCGGCGCCCTCCAGGGCCTCCTTCATCTTCTCACTCACCCCAACCCTCGCAAGGTCGAGACCGCTCTCGACGCCATCGCTTCCCTCACGCGCAACGACGAGCAGCAATCCCGAGCACTGCTCAACGCTCCGGGGAACCCCTTTCTCACAGTGATCATCCCGACAGTCAAGGAGAGGTCAGGAAAGTCTCGGTTGCTGGCGTGCGCATGTGTGGCAAACATCAGCCGGACGTGTCCAGAGTACGGGACGGAGAGGACGACAGGGCCGCCGGGATCGGCAAGGGACGTGGCGGCGGCGGTGATCAGTGCGCTTGTGAAGCTGGTGGACTGTCCAGGCGAGGTGAGGGCAGGGCATTGCCTTCCACGATCTTATTTTACCTCGACTGAAGGGTCCTCAACACGGTGGCTGGTTGCGGACATGTATTTTTGCGGCTCATGTTGTGAGTTCTCTCTCTTATTGAAGCTTCTTTCTCTGATGATGGCTCTCGACAGAAGCTTCGAGTCAGCTTAAATCGGCAAGTGCGTCTATTTTCAAAGAGAGTGTCACCGACTTTTTGCACCAAGTGAATCACAAATAGGATGGCAACAACCGAGACGGGCTTTGTCGCACAAGCGGGGGCGCTCATGGGATTCGCCCCCAATGTTGCCAGGCTGACACCACAAAATCTGTGTTCCTCTGACGCTAGTTCCCTTAGAGTCTCATTCGTTCTCTTTTGTCACTTGTAGTGCCTCAGCTTCTACGATCTCGTTCACATTCCAACGTCTTTCTTTCGTCAGGCCGGGACTAGGCCCCGTACGCCATCCCCCAATGGTCGACCACCTTGTCAGCAGCTAACTCGAAAAACGTCGTTCATCCCTTTGCTTAAGCCAGCACTTTGGATGACACTCCATGTTTTCTACATTCCGCGAATTGCTTCTTTATTTCCCTTTTCTTCCTTTTCCCCCTTTTCCCGATATGTCTGAGCTCTCTGTAGGCTGGCGAAGAAGCCCCCAGCGTGCTGGCTCACTTTATCGCGGACAGTGAGGACCTCCAAAAGCTGGCCTGCGACGCAGACGCCATCGGGAAGCTGTCGGGAAAGCTAGCGGCCGGGAGCGGGGTATTGACCCCCCGGCATCGAGAGAACATCTTCCACGCGCTCGCGGCCCTTTGCTCCACGCGGGAGGAGGGCCGGCGGCAACTGGTCGAGTCTCGGTAAGTTTTCTCGACGGGATCTGGATTGATCAGAGTTGATATTCTTCGCAGCATATCTTGAGCGGGAGGACTGTGACAGAGCCAAGTCTGCAAGAATCTATCCTACGATCGATCACCGACGGAAGTGGTTATTGGGCTCCAAGCTGCGGGAAGGAAGTACGCGCTCGACAGCGGGAGGTGAAAGCGTCGAGGGTCGATCCTCATATGTTGACGACGCTTGACAAGTTCAGTGCAACTTTCACCTCGCAGACATAGGTGTTCGCTTGAGTGGCCGGGAAGGGTCAGAGCTTATAAGATTTTAACGAGCGGAGCCGTTGGAAATGCTGCCGTTTTAAGGTTCGTTATATACGGACCTCTCGTCCTTCTGACCCGCATTGGACGTTTGATTTCCTTCAGCAGAAAGTCGCATTCTGGCAAGCGATTACAGATTCATCAAGAGCACGCATCATGCATCCGCTCGTGCGGGACTGTGGTCAATTCTGGTGTCTTGTCGCAGCGTCCTTTCTCCTGATACCTCGGGCTTAGACGCCGCCCCAGGCTACGCATCCGCTTGCTTCATGAGAACTAGGTGTGGCTTTTTTTCGCAGCGCCCTTCTCCCCGTCATTTCGGGCCTGGAGGACGCCGCCCCGGGTGTCCGCGCCGCGGCCTGCGCGTGCACCAAGAGCCTCTCCCGCTCCGTCAAAAACCTGCGCACCTCCCTGGTCGACGCCTCCATAGCGGAGCCGCTGTTCAAGCTGCTGGGCGACCCGGATCCGAGTGTTCAGGCGACCGCATCCGCCACGCTGTGCAACATCGTGCTCGACTTCTCACCGCTACGATCAGTGAGTTCAAAGTTGGGTCATCTTTATTTTGTTCCTCTCTTATTGCACTACTTACTTATGTGCTGTCGTCGCTCTTTGGCTGGTGTTGGGGAACCGAGATTCGAGCGTGCAGGCGACCGCGTCCACAACATCATGCTCGATTTCTGACCACTACGATTGGTGAGTTCAAAGTTTTGAAACTTTCAAGCTTCGGTTTCGGTGTATTCAGATTGTATCATTTTCGCGATCTGGACCCGAGCATGCAGGCAACCGCATCCGCAACGCTGTGCAACATCGCGCTCAACTTCCCAGCGCTACGTTATCTTGGTTCATTATTTCCTTTTCTTATACTTATCTTCGCTTAGTTTTTCCTTTTTCGAAGAGTGTCTTTTTCTCACCAACAGCAGGGTGTCCTGGACGGAGGCGGCGTCGCGCAGCTGCCCATGCTGGCGCACAGCATGGACCCGACCCTACGGCTGGTTGCGGCACCGGTCAATATCTTCCGTGTCAGTGGAGGCCTATTTCTATATTGGCTTCTTTCTTCCCTTTCTAAAAATCGTATTTTTCTCCCCCACAGCAGGTCGTCCTGGACGGGGGCGGCGGCGTCGTGCAGCTGGCCGCGCTGGCGCACAGCTCCTGCTGATGCGGCGTCGGTGAATATCCTCTGTGTCAGCGGTAACTTGATTTTGTCTATTCTGAAAAGTTTCTTTTTCTCCTATACAGCAGGTCGTTCTGGACGGCGGCGGCGTCGCGCAGCTGGCGTCGCTGGCGCACAGCATGGACGCCACCCTCCGGCTGAACGCGGTGTGGGCGCTCAAGAACCTGCTCTTCATGGCCGACAGCGCAACGAAAGCGCGCGTGATGCGCGAGGTCGGATACCCCACGCTCGCGGCGCTCGCGCAGGACCCCGAGGACGGCGTCCAAGAGCAGGCGCTGATGCTGGTGCGGAATCTGGTGCACGGAAAGGTGAGGGATTACATAGTGTTAAGGCCTTACGGTTTCAGGGTTTGAGGGTCTTGGTTGTTGAGGATGTTAGAACCAGGAATTCCCTTAAAGCTGACGACGCTCGCGCAGGACCCCGAGGACGGAGTGCAAGAGCAGGCGCTGATGCTGGTGCGGAAATTGGTGCACGGAAAGGTGAGCGGAATGGGGTTTTAAAGTCTGGAAAATGACGTTAAGAGTGCGGGCTTTTCATCAGGACTGGGGCTATTCAAAAGCTGACGGCTTGCACCTTGAGGATGGCGTCCAAGAGCAGGCGCTGATGCTGGTACGACATTTGGTGCACGGGAAGGTGAGGGGGTTCTGTGATCAGAGTCTGGGGTTTGGTATTCAAGAGTCTGTAGTTTTCTGTCAGGATTAGGGCTTTTGTTGAAGCTGACCGAGCTTGCATGAGACTTCGAGGACAGAGTTCAAGAGCAGGGCGCTGATGCTGGTGCGAAATATGGTGCATGGAACGGTGAGCGGATTTGGGGTTCAGAGTCTAGGGTTGGTATTTAAGATCAGGATATCATTAATGTTAGGCTTCCAACATCAAAGCTGAATGCTGAAGGTGGTGCATGGAAAGGTGGAAGTAATCGTTTTTAGGTACACAGCGTCGCGTATCAGAAAGTAGCCACTTTCTCGCGCTTCAGAAAGGAAAGCGTAGGACCACTTTTTGGTTTCTAGCGCAGCTGGGAGCGCTCCAAAACGTCGTTGAGGAGAAAGGCCTTTTGAATGTGGGTAGCTGGTAAAAGCACAGCGAATAGGCTCAAGAATTCCGGAGATTCTGAGTCTGGTTCTGAAGCCCAGCGTTACGTGCATACAAGGGTTTCCCGACCCGTCATCGGTAATTTTCGACAGTCCCTTGAGCACTATCTTCCGTATGAAGATTGAGGTCGCCCAGGTTTTGTACAACCGATCGCCTGCAACCGACACCGATCTGAAAATCCCGAGCTGCCAGTTAACACACTCTTTCTCTCCGTCCTTCACAGCCGGAGGACATTGAGGCGGCAGTCCGTCCGGAGACGGGCCTACTCGAAGTAGTGGACCGGAAGCTCGCGAGCGGCGCACGGCCCGAGGTGTGCGTGCAGGTAAGGCTGCGCGCCAATTCGGGTCTGTTCTTATTCTCCTGCTATGTCCGTAGCCATTGCTGAATTAGCATACACGTTGAGGAAGATGAGTGTACCTCGTTCTGCTGGCTCGTTTTCAGACGGCCAGCAAAGCGCTCCATTCGAACTCATTTCGCTGGTGCTCGCATGCTCTTCCCGCTGTTGTTGGTGCCTCTGAAACTCGCATCTCGCTTGCAGGCGCTCTACGTCATGGTCAACGTGGCAACGGGGACAGAGGAGCATAAAGAGCGCGTCATGGCGACGTGTACACCAAGCGTGCTGGGGCGCTTTCTGGCCGACGAAAGCAACCCGCAGATCCGCGTCGCCGCAGTCTGGTGAGTTTCAGAAACAGTGTTTCCTTTCTCCCTCAGTTACTTGCATCTTGCTGTTCTAGTCGACTTCCGGTCGTCCTACGGCCGGTGTCCTCTGAGGCTTAAAGAGCGATCTCGTTTCTGTTCCTCAAAGGTCGCTTTCGCTGCTTCGCTTCTGCTCAATGATCCATGCGATCAGGGCGGCGGCAGCCTTGTGGGCTCGTGGATTGAATGAATGTTGCGGTCTGTTTTTTGGTCACAGCTTCTGTTCTTCCCACGACGGGACGGATCGAGCATTCTTCAACAGGAGTTGGATGAATCAATTTACAAAAGTCGGTCTGGTCGAAGTCCAGTTTAAGTTCAATCAAGTCATCAAATTGGCTTGAAAGATGGCTTGAGTCCTTGCGTTCTTGAGGGTTCTCTTGTAAGTCTTCTCATTACCGAAATACATTTCATCCACGGTTCCTTCTGAGATGATACTCTGACGACTGTCCTGAGTTGGCATTATCAAAAACGCTGTAAACCGCTCAGCTACTAAGGGGTGGATCCATTACGATCTTTGAAGAGCCCCTCGTTACAGCTGTTCCATGCTAGCGCCAACGTGTAAACCGCTTCCTCTTCTCAAGCCTACATGGTCGCCTGACCTTTTTGTTTCCGTCCTGCGCGCAGGGTTCTGATCAATCTGACTTACTCGAAAGGAGGGAACGTCAGGAGCCGAATCGAGCGACTACGGCGCCTTGGATTGGACGCGCAACTGCACAAGCTGCTCAGTGACCCGTGCTCAGACGTCCAGGTACCCTCCCTGACTTTGGTTGGGGTCGAATCAGCATTTTCTATATTCAACATTGTTTCGTCGTTATTGCTGCCTCCAAAAGAGGCGTGCGGTCAAGAACGATCTGGTGATCGTCTGTACCGCCATCTGAGTCCCCGTTCCGGCACGGTTTCGTATTTCTCGCGAGATGGACCGGTGGTCTTTCGTAGAAGCATTGGTTGGGTGAGTTCATTGTGTGATTAGCACGAGGTTGCTTTTCTCGTTGAGAAAGAGTATTGTGCATGCCAGTCTACATCTGCTAATGCAGCTAAGAAGCTTCAGATTTGGTTGGATCGCGCTCGAAGATGGAGAAAATAGGTAAAGTGAACGCTCGTCAGGAGATAACAACTTTCAATTGTCCTCACAGGATCGAGCGAAGACGGCACTCGAACAGTTTCATGAAGCCTTGCAACCCCTCCCACAGCCTTCAGTACAAATGGTCTCGGCGCATATTTGTTAGTCAGGCACGCACATGGTCTTTAGATTATGCATCTTACCAGGTTTGATTGATGCGATATGCAGGGCAGATTATGAATTGAACGATTTAAGAGAGCGATCATAGAAGAGGGATTACTAGCAGAAAGCCAAACTTATAGACCATGTAGATTTAGGTAGCTTAACTAAGACGGCTCTAATGCTTGTGTATGAAGTTTTTTGACTGGAGTGGAGCAATCAGTTATCATAAGAGGTTGGCAGGGCTCGTTAGTTCTTATTTTTTATTTGATCGAGAAGCATCGAATTTCAACATATACCTGAGTCGATCGATGCACGATTGCATGCTGAATATCGCTTATAACATAGCCTAGCATGCCCGGGCTATATATGAATAGGCTAGTAATTCTTGTATCACAGAGAATTCAAGCTCACATGCATTCTCAGCTAATTGCCGATTATGATATTGCACTCGATCATATGAAGTGATATCATCGATTGCCATGGAAGCGCTCAAGTTTACGGTGTGTGGATGACACAGTTTCCAATCAAAGCGCAAATTGAGATGGTTCGAAATCATGTGATCAGCGAGATTGCCGGTACTTTTGCATGCAGTGTGATTGATACCGACAAAATCTTGTATTCTGTTACAGCTACACGGTATACAGATACAATGCAGTTGACAATAATCTATGCGCTGAAGGCAGGTTCGTAACAATTGATAAACACGCAATACCATCATTCCGTCTGCAATCGCTCGGGCGTGCTTGAAGCAACACCGTGCCAGTAGAATTGCTAAATGAAATACCAAGCTTGACAGTTGTGCCGCCTCCACGTGAGCTTAGCCTGGCACCACCTGCCATGTCTGCAACTCTTTGTGTCGCGGTCAGATATCAATGATGGCCGGCCACAGACATAATAATCTGCCGCAACGTACTTTCTCAAAGCCCCGCCTTGTCTAGCCTTTCTTGGAAATCTTGCCAACTCACGTCTTGTTCCATATATACAATGTTTGCTGGCTTGTAAGGTGCCTTTATCCGATCAATTCCGCTTACTTTTGCGCTTTTTGGAAGAACTGGCTCCCCAGGATCGGTAGCAGTCGGTCTCATCAACGATGACGAAAATCCCTGCACATCCATTGGCTTGATTGGTCAAGTCAGAATATTCTATCAGGCCGACAAGGAACCAGGCATGTGGGATAGACGTGTTTGAGGAGAGAGTGTAGGCTGCAAAGACTAGTTTCACTTCAACGCAGGAAGATTGTGATGAGACAAGCTGCCAACAAGATCGTAAAAGACTCCAAACGATGATTTCAAGTTCCAAGTCACAGGCAGCTACTTAAAAGGCTGAATTAGCACTGCCCGCATGATGTGGCCTGTGAGCTGCACAGTGAGATCAGGACATCAAAACGGCGTATCAGGCTTATCAGCATCGAAAGTAGATACCAGAGACCGCAGACAGCGCATCTGTTGTGCTTATCAGGTCATTGTACAATAGGAGTGGCTGGCGGGCTCTGCACCTACAGCATGATGACTCACCTTGAAGATGATCACCTCATCATCCTCGCCATCAACTTCCGCCCTCACAGAAAGCACCTCCCCAGGGACAAGCTCTGTGTAACTTTCCAGTCTCTTGATGTCAAACTCGTCGGGAGAACTTTCTGCTCCCTCCCCATGATTGCTGGCAGCACAGCGGATACGACTCCGCACCTCTCTCAGTTGTCTCCCCCTTCCCAAAGCTTTAGTATGAACTATCTGGCATCGCTGGGGCTCCGTTTGTGAACTTCTTAAAGGTGGGGTGAACGAACAAATAGATATGGTACTGATTCTGAGAGGCTGAAACCGCTGAGGAGCTGTCTGGTTGGGCCCTACTCTAGGAGGGGATCTGATCTGGAAGGAGCAATTGTGCCAATGAGGGGCGCATTCTGCAGATCTCACACTGACATCAACTCTCCTCCTCTGATTGGTCCCGTGTTTGGGCCTCACACCGCAGTTGGACACAGCTGCGCACCTAGCTGCACTGGAGCTTGCCATCTGTCTTGTATCAATCAATTCGATGAACCGGCTGGCCCTTTCTAGCATGGGAATAGCTGCAGAGGACTTCGACCACCCCCTTGTGCCGTTCTGCTTCTTGAACGCTTGTTTCTAGAAATGAGATACAAAACCTCTGTGCATCTTTGGTTCAATGCTGTCGTATTGTTCGGTTGGCTTTAAGTTCCACAACGCAGCACCAACTTTCTGGCCGTCTCTCCCTCCTTCAATCTCAAAGTGCAGCCTCCTCCATCTCCGAGTCCTTGTGCACACCATGCACAAGATAGGTACAGAGGCAGAAGACTATCAAACCGACTGTGTTCTATACTCGATTTCACAAAGCTAAGTAGCCAATAGAATGCATCGGATGTCTCCACGTGGTAAAAACGGTACCCCCCGAATCAGCTCTCTGGCGTAGGCGGTACCAGTAACCACATCCGTATCCGTCCGGTGTCAAGGTAGCCTACATATACCAGCCTGCGTGCTTGTGAGCTCGATCAGCAGCTTTGCGTCACCATTCGACCTTGAGCCACAATTTGATTCTCACCCTCAGACCGAGACGGATTGCTTTGATTCTGAAGAAGTCTGTGTGGGCCACTACAAAGCTCCGCATCACCGCATTGCAGCATTTTGCACTTTAGGAAGCATTGTGGTGGACATTCCGCCAGGGTCGATCCGGTGGGCTCAAATGGTTGGGACGTCTTGAGGCGGAGGCATGGAGTTGCCTCTTTCCCGCCTGCTCTTTGCCTTGCTCTTCTCAGCGTATCTGGCCAGACGTTCTATCAAAAACAAGTCCTTGTCAAAGTCGGGCGCTGTTGCGGGGGTGCTTGTTGGATTCATCTCATTCATTGTAGGCTTCAGGTGAGGGATCCCCCGTATCTGTATGTTGAATGATGATAGAGTTGTCCTTGTCTTGATCGGAACCAGAAAAGCGTGTTGGCACAGGGCCCGATTGGGCCGCCTCGTCATCGCTCATGCATTTGTCTCATTGCCCTGCACATATGTATACAAAAGGTGCTTTCCAAAGCACCACCTTGCCTTCTAGAGCAATAAGCACTTTGTAATGAAGAATCCATTCAGCATTAAGGAGCAGCGCCGTCATTGCACCTCCTGCAGGTATGGTGCCACTCTTGTGGCTTTCTACCTCAGCTCATCTAAGTTGACTAAGTACAAGGCCTCTGTCAAGAAGACAATTGAAGCAGAGTTCAAGGAAGGGGGCCAGCGGAACTGGTGAGCATCAGGCCTGCACAAATGTTGACAACTAGAGCGGTGGTACGTCCTGGACAATCTTCATCAGTGCTGCCAAAGACTTTGATCCAAAGACTTTGATCACAAGATACAAGGGAGCGGGCCTTGAGCTACACGTTTATAGTAACCGATGCTTGGTAATCAGTCTTAGAATCCTGAAGCAGACAAGCCAAATCAGTCATGCCTAGCAGTAAACAGAATTTCAAAGGAGTGACCTCCCAATTGTTGCTCAACAAGCGGTTGATGAGCATCTGCACCCAACCTAGTTCCCTCTATGCAGGATCCAAGTGTTTGCAAACAGCCTAGTTGGGACTGTCCTCGCTATCAGCATCGCTGTTCGGACTGGGGGCAGAGACCCCTTCTTTGATGCCAGAAGTGACCCCATCACGACGGCTCTGCTGGGTGGATACCTGGGCTTTTATGCGGCGTGTATAGGGGACACTTGGTCAAGCGAGTTGGGGATCTTGAGCACTGGGAATCCGAGGCTGGTTACCACCCTTAAGGTGAGATACTGCTTGGGGTCTAATCAACACTGCTGCAACTGCTTGGCCGGACAAACACTACTTCGGCGCTGCCGTCTTGTTGTAGAACCGAGCTGTATTGTGTTTGGAATTGCAAACGCGCGAGAGGTGCCTGAGGCTAGGGGGTGCCGGACGCAGCAATTGAGTCGAGGACTTTCCAGATGGAAGATGTGGCAATTCATGTATATATGCGTAAAAGTAAAAGTAACGCGCGTCGAAAGATCCCGGAGAAGTGCAAGGAAGAAAAGGCTCTGCACATGGCTCTGTTTGAATGCATCTTCGCAGGTTGGTGGCAGTGCTAATACCTTGCAATCTGACACCCTCCCCTTCTGCCCTTCCACATCTCGTTCCGCACGGTCTTGAAAGACACTGTGCTCTGCGCTGAGTTTCGAATCGCCAGTATTGGACAAACTTCAGGTGATGCTGACTATAGACATGATGGCAACGCTTGACCCGCAGTATCTCCTTCATTCTCAGGTCGTTCCGAAGGGCACAAACGGGGGCGTAAGCGGCGTTGGGACCGCCGCCAGTGTGGCAGGGGGCCTCTTTCTTGGCGTCATCTTCTATGGTGTTGGTCTGCTGACGACCGGGGGGTTTGGTCAAGCAGACGGGGCGGGAGCAGAGCAGTGGAAAGCGGTGCCGGTGGCGGCGTGGGCGGGATTGGCCGGAAGTCTAGTGGACAGCCTACTGGGGGCCACGCTGCAGTACAGCGGCCTGGACGGGAAGCTAAAAAAGGTGCGTGCACAGCTCTGTGACGAACCCCGAACAGAGGTGCCCCGTTCTGCGTTGGTAAAGTTTGGCAGATAATAATGGGAGTTAAAACACTTTCTCTTCGACTGCTCGCTCGCTGTATACCGCCTCGTCCAGTCGATATAAACAGCCCTTGCTTCTCGTTTTACCGGAGAGGTGTTTCGTTGACGCCACATCTGATGAAGGTCACGGGATTGCCTCTTTAACCGTGCTGTCCCTGTGTATGGGGCTAATGTATGGGGCTAATGAAAAGCTCGCTTGACAGTCATGCATAATAAAGAGGTTTGCAGCTTGGCTGCTCGCCCGTGTCAACTTCCAACTGATCCTTCTTGGTCGCGGTTGTCTCTGCAGGTCGTGCAACATCCTGGTCCGGGGGTGACGCAAATAACGGGTTTGCATCTATTGAACAACGAAGGCGTAAATTTCGTTGCTTCAGCTACTACGGCCGCTCTGACTGCAGGTTTATCACTGCTCGTCTTTTGAAGTTGATCTTGTGACACCATGTCATCCAAATCCATAGCTGTTCTCATATCTCCCTCATGTTACCTGCTTGCGGTGCAAAGCCAACGCGCGAGTTACACTTTGAACAAGGTGTGTAGCTGGACAGAACTGCTGCTACGATCAACGTACCTGTGAATCAGGCATGCACGGCACATAGTATACGGCATAGCAACCTTGTATTCGAGCAATGGACGCCGGAAAGGCTCTTATTAGGTTTACAACTGTGCTCGAATCCTATATGCATCTCACTAGCTGGCATGCACGCACAAATCTAGTATATGCCAACACGTTGCCCCAATGATATTTGTGGGCAATATCTAAGCAAAGTTTATCTTGACTCAATGCCGGGTCCTAACACGATCGGGGCACTAGTCCTACAAGATACAAACGCGGCACTGCAGACGTATAATCTGTGAAAAGGCTCTCACGATCATTATGAAGTGCAAGCGAGATCTCACAAATTGGGAAACAAGGATCTGAAGATTCTGTTCAAGCTCTCTGATTCACGAGCAGGTACCCATAAGGTAATATTGTACCGGGCAGAAACGAACCGGAAACTTTAACCCGCATTTTTATGCGCTCGCGGCTCCGCAGAGTCCGCCCTTGAACCCACCCTAACCACCCAACTAACCCCACCCTTCCCCGGGGCTTGACCTTCTTTGCTCGGATCTAATCATTGCTAAGAGAATATATCATAAATGCGCCCGGCTTCGGAACGAGTTCTGCACGGAATCTGGACAGTTTCGAGCAGAAAGTCAAAGCAGTGCAAGGTCTAGCTCCATAATGCAGCGGCTACAATGATGAAGGAGCCCAAATTTCAACACAAAACTTTGATGCTAGTGTGTGGGGACTCGGGAGTCAACCTCAACACCATGGTGACGGAGCAGCGTTATAACAACGCGGCAGGGAGCTCGCTTCTTCTGTGTAAAGCTTATAGCTCAGTTGCATTCGACCCCAATCAAAGCAGCTTCGGATCCGACCACAACCTACCTTTTACCCCACGAATCCTTCACAGTTCCCTTGTATGCTCGCATTGTCCGTCATCAGGTGGGCCCGCAGATAAGTGAGACCGCAAATTTGCCAGCTAGAAGCGGAGCAACTAGGATGGGGAACGTTGTGGCGCGCCCGCAAATGTCATGGTCGGACAAGCTTCTGGTGCAGTTCCTGCTGTTGGTGGACCGCATTTGGCCGTGGTACCGTATGCCGGTGATCCTCGGGGTCCTGTATCTGGATGCGCGGAAGCACCTGATGCAACGCAACAATCTGAAGCCAGTCGGCAAAGGCAAGCGAACCAATCTCCCTTGCAAGAAGATGATTTCCTTTGAGAGCCTTTTGAAGCTGGTGGAGATGGAAAGTGATACAGAACATGTTTTTGAGGATGCATGAATATCAGCAACTTATTTGCCAGCTGAGTTTGAGAAAAGGTAGAAGCAGCCCCTAGCTGCTTTACAATCTGAGATCTGGATGTAATGGCAAGAATTGAGAATGTCTCTTACAGCTGAAGATATGTACACATCCTAAGAAGGTGGGGATGTGAGAAACTTTCATTTGTGCTTCTAGTTTGATGGTCTCTACATTACATCGCGTAGGAGGTTGATCTTCAATCTGGAAAGGTCTTCAGGGCTGAAACAGACCCCCACAGGGAGGGCCAACCTGAAACTCCATAATGCACCCCACTTCTGTCTCTTCTGTGCGACGGATCCAGATTCTTATCCAGATTCCATTTTCAATGAAGCTCAATGAAGGCAGAATGGGAGAGCACGTAACAAACCCCGGTCCAAAGGTTGAAAAAGCAATAACTTTGGGGAACAAGATGGAAGTAAAGTTGTGTTTGATGCCCATGTTCTTTTCAAACAGGATGGTAGCTCAATCACTCACTCTAGATCATCTGGATTGCATTATTGCTCACTCTACGTAAGGCCAGTACCTGAGCAAGCCTCAGCAGGCCCCCCATCTTCATTGCATAAAGTAGCTAATCAAGAAGCAGGTGATTTACTGTGAGGAGCCTTCGGTTTTAATGCCCCTCTGTCAACTTACTAAAAGGTTGACTCTGACTCTGACTCCCTTACAAGCTTGTTCTCTTGCAGACCAGAAGTTCAGCTTCGATCCCAAGGCCTTCACGTATCGCTCATTGGACGGCACCCACAATGACCCAGACGACGCGCAGGCAGGGGCGTATGGCTCCTTCTTTGGGCGCAACATGGTACCGCAGAACGAGATCAACGCTAAGGGTGGTGAGCAGATTTACACCAACCTCAGTCCATAACAACAGCCTTGGTGCCTGCATTATGCACAATGCCTTGGTCTAAGTTTTGAGCTTCTGATAGCTCCATTGAGTTTCTTGTTTTGGTCTATTGTGGGAAAAGATTTACATACATTGGCTACCTGGCGCTAGCTGGAGAAGGGGTTGTCAGATGCTTTGAGGTTGGAGCATTAGAAGATTCTTGAGCTTGTCGCAAGGAGGAATCAATGCATTCAAGCTGACCATAACTCTCCCACCATATTCTGCATAATTCCTATCTCCCAATTTGTAAGGAATCGCTATCATTTGCATTTTCAACCTTCATTATTCAAGTAATATTCGCAGGGGATGCTTTGCAATTGGGCGTTTGCTTACGGCACAGCTTCTTTCATCGATGACCTGCGTACTAAACCTTTCTTTTGAATTAACTTTCGCAGCTACCTCTCCCCCTGACATCCAAGACCCTAACCCATTTTTGGTGGCGCAAACCCTGCTGGCCCGCCCGCCCCGCACTACTGTCCCCAGCAAGCTGTCGCCTTACACCAACACAGGTGACGTCAGCGTGCTTACGTCAGCATTAGCAGTCTCTGGACATCCATGTTAAGTTAGGCTCTCTGCTCGCCAGTCAATCCCCTAAAATTGGGCGCCACAGGTAAGGTTCTGTCCATGCTAGGGATCTCGTTTCTCATATTTTGGCAAGGTTGTGAAGAAATGCTTATGTGGCTTTTGGAGTCTTGACTTTGCAGTCGTGATGACCATGCTAAGTATCTGAATTGACAAAACATTAGGGACTGTTGAGTCTCTCTGCAGAGGCGGGCAAAGAAATGCATTCTTGAAGCGAAGAGATAACTCAACAATCCTAGTATTTCTCAATCGGATGTGTCAAGCCCCCTTGTCTGAGCCCAGTTGTCCACTCTTCTTTGTGACAACCTTCTCCCACCCGGACATGGCTAAAACACAACAGTCTAGTCAACTTCTTCGCTGTCAAGCTAGCCAGCTCTTGCCGAGCAACAAGTGCCGGCGTCCCAAATCTGCAATCAACGAGACACACCCCGCATTTGCAGGCACCCAATTCAACGTCCTGGCCGCGTCCTGGATCCAGTTCATGATCCACGACTGGTTCGACCACCTCGAGGGGGGGCCAGGAAGCACTGCCCTGGAGGCCCCCCCGGGACTGAACGGCTGCCCACTCCGCAGGATGACCTTTCACCCCACGGTTAAGGAGTCGACCGGCATGACTAACCCACGGGAGGGGCACATCAACATCCGCACCCCTTGGTGGTGAGGTTTACTCCTTTCAGATGTAAACGTGTGTATGATGCTATGCATTTGCATTCTGTGCAGCAGATCTGTCCTCTTTTGCCAGGGCAGGCCGGGCACTTGAGCACGTTGCTAGTGCCAAACGCAAAGGAACCTGAAAGTCAAATCAGAAACGTAAGCCAAACAGGAAAAGCCACTTCTAACGGGTTCTTAATGGAGAATACAAGCGGGGTCCGATCCTTGTCGTGCTTCCAAAGCACCCCTGTTAGACCGGAACAAGGCTGCCACGTAACGGCGAAAATGCTCAACAGGCTACCTTGCGAGGGGACATTCGGTCACAAGGAGTCCTCTTCCTAGCCAGGCTATAGGTCAAGAGAGTCCTCTTTCAAACCGGGGTTTAGTCCAAGGGGTCCTCGTTCTAACCGGGGTGATCCAGGCCTGATCCAGATTCCGTTCTCCGCTTCTCTGCAGGGATGGTTCCGCAGTCTACGGCCAAACCCCCGAGAAGGCCACCTCCCTGCGCACCGGCAAGGGGGGGAAGCTCATTGACGGCGGGGACACGCTCGCGCACGGCCCGGACGGCGTAGCACGTGTGGGTGACGTCAGGAACTCTTGGATCGGCGTCAGCCTGCTGCAGGACCTGTTCGTCAAGGAGCACAACGACGTGGCCCAAATGTGAGCGTCCATTGCATGCGACGGTCGCAGTGAGACCGCTTTGCAAGCTGGTGATACGCTCGCATAATTGTAGCTTCTTTCGTTTGCGAAAGGCACTGTAAGGGCGAAAGAAATGAAATTGATGATACTGGAAACAATCCGATCCAGGGTTGCTTCAATCGGCCATGCATCGGATGATAGGAGGAGGCCATCCGGTTGACTTCCAGATCTTTAAGGAGTTTCTGAGCTCGAGCGTTGGATGCCGTGAAGACAAGGTTGTCCCGGAAGCACGACTTGCCACTCAACATCGCAGTAGCTCAAAGAATGCCTCTAATGTTTTCTTCCAGCTGACCTCTTGTTGTGGCTGCTCAGTCGCGAAAAATCTCTCGCTAGGTCGGGATCCTGACGCTTGTCTTTAGCAGAGCTGATGAGCGACCTTCCCTCTCGATGCACGTCACTGCAGAATTCAAACCAGGGGCCCTGTTTTTTCCAGGCTGAGCGAATGGTACCCGACTTGGGATGACGACCAGCTGTACAACAAGGCCCGCCTGGTGGTCGCGGCGGAGATCGGCAAAATTCACACCATCGACTGGACGTGCGAGCTGCTCAAGATGCCCACCCTGAACGTTGCCATGAAGGCCAACTGGTGAGAATGCGCTCCTTTCCAGCTTCATTTTTTCCAACCTACAAGAGCGGGGGACATTTGAAAACCTATTCATCGAAGCTTGCATTGCAACTGATTGACGGCAGTCTGTGAACGTCGAACGACTCTTGCGAAGAAGCGTTTGTTCTTTGTAAAGCTGCGCTGGACAAAGTACGCGTTTTGTGGTGATCCGTCTACGGGCGTTCCTGCCAGAACCAATTTGGAAGAAGAATCTGGAGCCGTTGTTGCCTTCTGCCTGCAAACCGTGATCCCCTCCGCAAACCGCGCCCAACCCGAGGCCGCCACGTGTCGTCCAGGTACGGCCTCTTCGGCAAGTGGGTCAAGGAGCACCTGGGCCACACGGGGATCTCCGAGCTGAGCGGTTTGGTCGGGTTACCCAAACCCGACAACCACGGCGTGCCCTACTCGCTAACCGAGGAGTTCTGCTCGGTCTACCGCATGCACAGCCTGCTGCCGGACGAGATCGAAGTCCTGGACGTGCGCGCGAGCATACTCGTGGACGGCAAGCCGCCGCCCAAGAAGCTGGTGAGCGTTGAGAGATCGAGCCTCGCTTGCACGGGGCTTTCGCCCGATTTGAGACAGCCAAGCTAGTGAAAACGGCCTTGAAATGATTGCAGTTCGCCCCTGTCAGAGGGGAAAGCAGGCTGAGGAACGCGAAGGAAGAGGTATGAAGCCTTTGTCTCTGACTCACGACTCCAAACGAGGCCCTGTGACCCTTTTCTATTGCAGAGCTCGAAGCGATGTTGATTCGTCTGCTCAAATTCACGGCATTAGTACCGAGGATCTCCAGCGCCGAGACGAGGCAAATCTGCCGCGCGGGGAAATGCTGCGTAGTTCCGGGTTTCGGTGTGGATAACCCTGCGCGGATTCTGTCAGGCGAACACATGTATATTGGAATCCTGGCTTGCAATGACCAAATAAGCGTCGTCCTGTTTTTAACGAGTGTTGTTGACTCGCGCTCTCGTCCTCCCCTATTACCGCACTTTTGAACAAGTTGAGTTATTGTTGAACAACAGCAAGCCAACATGGTTCACTCAGAGTCCTTTGTGATTGCTAGCAAACAAACGTTTGAATCACAGCCGAACCCTCTCAAAAGTACATTCAGATCATTTTGCTTTGTGAAGCTGTCCCTGCAACCAGTCACGAATCCAAACCCTCCCTGATTCAGGCTGATATCCTAGGGAAGGCCCTAACCCTCCCCATGGTTAACGGCGACATCTCAACAAAGGCGACATCTCAACGAAGGCCCAAACTCTCCCCATGGTCAGCGGCAAAACCTTAACGAAGGCCCAAACCCCTTTTCAGGTGCCCATGGAGGACCTGCACGGCATCCAGGGCGAGCGGACGCTGCTCGAGGAGGGGCCCCTCGTCATGCTGACGTCACTCGGGTTCCAGTCGTGCGGCCTGCTCTGCCTGAACAACTACCCCAACTTTATGCGCGACATCGCGCCGGAGAACGTCGATGGCACGCCGCGTGGCGACCACGTTGATATGGCTGCGCTCGAGAGTGAGGGGTTGGGGAGATCAGGGCTTAACGCTTTTGAGTGCGCAGAATCTCTTTTGTTTGAGGGTTCAGGTGCTGCATTTCGTTGCCTTTATGGTTTCCGACCTCCTTCCGCCCCTCGCCGCCGAGTGTATCTGACTCCCGGGAGAATTGAACTGTTCCACAGAGGACTAGAATTTGGCGTTGAGATCGGTTGCACCATACCTTCCCTTGCCAACCGGAGCTTTGGTTGCTTCTGACGGAATTAATGAGCCAATGCGCTCACATGACCTGAAAGCCGCTGACACTAGATTCTTTGTGTCCGAGAAGCTTGTTCCGCTGTCGCGTGTGACGTCAAGCCTTACGCGTCCGCCTTCTGAGGAGGACCTACTTTCCGCTCGTTCCGCTGCAGTCTGGCGCGACCGCGAGCGGAACGTGCCCCGGTACAACAACTTCCGGCGCCAGCTGCACGCGGCGCCCATCAAAACGTGGGCGGACCTGACGGGCCCGGACGACACAGAGACCCAAAGCAAGCTGCGGGTGAGCGTGTAATCGCATTATCTCGGCGCTCTTTCCTTTGAGAATGCAGAGCTGACACGTGGAAGATCCTGAACGGAGGTGAACGAGCGGCGAATATGCATGTGATTGGATAGGGAAAGAGGGGAAGGACGCCTCTGGTCCGTAGGGCGATAGGAAAATTTTCGCCGCTGCCGCCGTGGTTCTAACGCCATAGAGCAACCAAAATTGGTTGTGTGATGGCGAATAGTTTGAGATCAGCTCAATTGAGCATTCTTAGTAGTCCCTGAATGCGCATTGCAACAACTGTTTTTACTTCTCCGAAGTCCTATGAGCATTCAGTCCTTGCGGTGAAGCGGTTCGCGATTGCCCTGATCAACAATGATTCGAGAGCCCAGATTCGCTCGGCTCGTCCGAAAGTTGCTGTGCTTTTAAGGGACTGCAAACGACGAGGACGCAGCTGGCACTGCGACGGGGACATGGTAACGGCCAGCCCTTAAAACGCCCTTCCGGTGCCATCCGATTGCTCCGGTTCCGTGCAACATTGAAACGGAAGCGGCGTAAAGAAGCCGGAGTTACTCGTAGTTCTAACAAAAGGTTCACTTCACAACCTTTCCGTTTCCGCTGAGCCGTTCCGGTTCCGGTGCAGTCGGTCTACGGAGACGACGTCGAGAAGCTGGACCTGCTGGTGGGCATGCAGGCGGAGCGATTCATACCGGGCTTCGCCATCAGCGAGACCGCTTTCTACATCTTCATCATCATGGCCAGCAGGTTAGGAGCTAAACCTCGAGTGGTTACCAAGCCTGACCCAAGCGTTCTTCCGCTGACTTATCCGTGGCATTAATCTTCGTCATTTTTACCTTCCCGACTAAGGCAAGCATGTCTTAATACGCTTGGCGAAACCCCTGGGTTGAGATAGTCGGCGCATCGCAACTCCCAGCTCGTCTTTCACCGCTGGCAAATTCCTCTTCAAGAAGGGAGAACACGATTTGAAAAGTCGCACTAACGCCTTTGGATCGTGTAAAGGCGGCTCGAGAGAACCGTAAAAAAACGTATCCGGTATCTTCTCAACGTGCTGTCGTAAGCTCACGTCGTCTCACAGCTCCCGCTGCTACTTTCCCGGCCAGCGATCCGGTGACGGCTTGAGACGTCATGCTGACGCCATCATCTTTGTGTCTCCAGGCGCCTGGAAGCGGACCGGTTCTTCACGTCCGACTTCCGGCCTGAGGTGTACACCCCCGAGGGCTTTGAGCGGGTGCGGTCCACCGAGGGAATAGCGGACCTCCTCAAGAGGCACTACCCAGGTTAGTCGCCTTTATTTTTTATTTGTTTCATCACGAATTCACTTGCCTAGCTTGTACTACACTGGCCTTTCAGGGGAAAAGATCTCATAGATCCAGTATAGGATGACTTCGAGGTCCAGTGACAACAACCCCCGGGATAGATCAGAACCTAGCCGGGACAAGTGCCCGTTTTTTGAAATGCCAACAAGGGTGCAACAAGGGTGCAACAAACACACAAACCGATATACATACGCGCTCCGCACCCTTACCTACTCTGCAGACATGCACTCCGCCCTCTTTGTCTCCAGGGTCACAATACCATGCTTCGTTTTCCGGCTTTAATCTGGCAGAGCATCGCCTAATCAGAGGTTAAAGAACCACGATCGCTAGCAAACATTTTACAAGCTCCGTAGTCGCCGGTTGCCTCTGCAGACAGGCACTCCGCCTTCCTGACCGGCCTCCTTGAGAAACCGGCTTTTATCTGTTAGAAGACCAATTAACCAGAGGTTAAACAAGCTCGTTCGATAGCAACTTCTCACTCCGTAGGCGCCGCTTTTCCTCTGCAGACATGCACTCCGCCTTCCTGACCCCCAAGGGCATTTCACCACCTTTGCTTAATCGGCTTTCATCTGCTAGAGCATTACCTAACAAGACTCGATCAATGAGCAAACTTTTCATCCTTATTTGCCGGCTTTCTCTGCAGACTTGTACTCCGCCTTTTTGGCCTCCAAGGGCATCAGCGGTTTCAACACGTGGGATGCGGTCCCGCCCAAGACGAGCTGGCTGCCGCAGCTCATCCAGTTCCCGAGCAGCGACGGGGGGCCGATCACCACTTGAAAACCGCTCGGTTCGTCCTTCCCCGGGCTCGAAAACCTTTTGGTTTACGATTCCCCGGGCTCGAGAATTTCAGTGGTTTCCGTTCCCCGGGCTTGAGGCTCAGGCGCATCAGAGCTGCAGGGGGCCGGTCGAAGGCCCGTGACTGGCCCCACTTTGCGTGAGCGACTACTTGAAATATATACAAAAGATTATAAGCTTTATCCACCCACTTGTATATTGAGACTATTTTAAGACTGAAAGTGGCTCCGTATATACACATAGTACAGTTGAATGCAAATTCCAGACATTTACTATTCAGTAGTAGTACTTATACGTTTTAGGTTGCAATCTGTTTTGCAACCGGCCACCGACTTATCCATAATAGAAATGCCCTTAAAGGTCATCCTTCGTTGTGGGAGTTGATAAAATTTGTACCATAGGTCATAACCATGCTGATTTTGTAGCTAGAATCCCCCAAGATCAGAGGCTCGACACCGTTGCAAGACTATCAGTATAAAAAGTAGGGCCCGTATACGGCATTGCTTCAAACTCCCATATGGGAGCGCTAGGGGAGCGCTATCTCATCTGTAACACAGCAAATGTAATTTCATCTGAAGGCTTAACGCTTGGCAGGAGATTAGGGCCGTAGTTGTGTCGGATCCCATGGCCCGCAACATAACATCCAAAACCCTTAGCAACGATGTTCTGCATGCAGAAAGTTATGTTATGTTAATTGATTACGTTTCTGCATACGTACATGCTGCAGAGTGGGGCACGCGACTCGTGATATCATGCAAACGATCAAGTATAACTACTGGCATATGACTCTCAGGCTCGATCAGCTGACGGTTGGGTATCATACATGTGCAATTAATTGTCATATGTATGCAGTCCCCGCGCGGCCCAAGTTTGTAGGGCGGGCCGGATTGGTACAGCCGCAATGCCGCATGCGATCATTCCAGATTAGACACTGATCACTCTGCAACATGCTGTCACACTAATTGACTAATGGCGGCGGAGCTGCATGTGCCTAGATGCACGTAAATGCATCGTAGCAAATCCCATCCATGCAGCTGATGCGCTAATGGGCCTGCGGCCCGGCCATGTATCGACGGGACACGCCGCCGTTTGCGTGCCTTCGACAATCACGTGACGTGACGGCCATTCGATGATTCGATGACTGTGACTAGCTAATGTTGACCGAGCAGGACAACGGAGGAAACGTCTTTACTGCGAGTCGCTTTCTTCAATGATGATCTTGACTTGCGTGGTTTGCATCGCACTGCGCCCCACCAGGTCTATATACATTTCCCAAGAGATTTTTCCGGTGGGACTCTTGACCAAAAATTGACTAAGTTCTAGCGAATAAGAACAAGAATAATTTCAGTTCGATTACGTAGCTCCCCATCTATTCTGCGCTACATCCTCCTTCCTAGAGAACGCCCCCCTTCATGGGCATCTCCCCATACACCGCCATCGCCTCCTGCCACCGCCCACTCTTCTCCAGCACCCCGACCAACATACTGTACGTCGTCACGCTCGGGGTGATCCCCCGGGCCTCCATTACCTCCTTCCACGCCAACGCTTCCCGCCAGTCCCCGGCACTGGCATACGCCCCGAGCACCAAGTTATACCCCCCGACCCCAATCTCGTAGTCGGATACCGACTCCCGCCACTCGGCCAACACCCCCCTAGCACGCCCGGTGTTCCCCTCGACCTCTAACCGGGCTAACATCGCCATGTAGACCGACGCTTCGATCTCCATAGCCTCCCCCCGCATATATTGGTACAGTTCCTCAACATCCGCCCAAGTTCCGCCCTTCGCACAGGCCACCAGAGCCCGCCCGTAGTGGAAAGCGGAGGGGGATCCCCCTAAGATTTCCATCTGCTCGAGCGCCCAGAGCGCCTCTGCGCCCAAGCCCCCCAGGTCGCACGCCGTCAGCACCCCCCGGTAGGTGAAGTCATCCGGGGGGCAGGTGACGTCACCCTCCAGCATGCTGGCGAAACAGCTGACGGCGGACGCGAATTGGCCCCCCCGCCAGTAGGCCCGGATGAGGATGTTGTGGCTGACGACATCGGGGCGCACCCCGAAGCGCTGCATCGAGTCGAAGATGGCGCGCGCGTCCTCCCACGCGCCGAGCTCGGCGTAGCCGTCCAACAGGTTGTTGAAAGCGCGAACCTGGGGTTAAGCAGGGTATGGGATTAGTGTCGAGTTGATTAGCAGTAAAAACGAGCCATATCTCTAAGCGCCGACCTTGGCGTAACAGTACAGTCATTGTTGAATGCGCGAATCTGGGGTAAGGAAAGCAGGTAAAAATTGGTTTCGAAACGGCTAATGGGAAGGGCGTGCGCCCTCCCACATGCCGTGCTCGACGTGGCCGTGCCGCATGTTGTTAACCATGCCGGTCAGACAGCGGGTTGAAGAGAGCGTCCGGAACAGAAGCTTTTGGAGCGATGGCGCACTCAAAACTGCGCAAAATATTCTGGCCTAAACCACAACCGGCGACTGCAACGGTCGTCTACCTGCTTCCCGGTCGCCGAAGTTGGACCAACCAGCGGACGCTCTTTGTTCAAGGACCCCCACTCGGAACCAAATGTCACTTGGATTCTCAGACTCGGAAAGCCCGCAGATATAGCAAATCAGTTGAAGAACCTAGAATGAACATTGTTTGCCGCCGAGACGTCGCCCGTCCGTTGATACACGTCAGTAGACCGGTTCAAGTTCAGGGGTCACATTACCTGCGGTTTGACTCCTCGTGCGCCCATCGACTGGAAGACCGCCATCGCCTTCTCTAGCTCGCCGCTGTCGCTCAGCGCCTTGATCAGCGCCTCGTATGTCGTCACGTTCGGAGCACACCCGCTGGCGTCTAGGTCTTGGAACACCTGTTGAGGAGATTCGGTGCCATTTGGGTGCCATGGATGGTATCAACGGTGTGCCGCATCAGTGATCTAAGCTGATGACGAAGTGGGTGCACAACTCCTTGAACGAATGAAACTGGGGTGTCAGGGGCGGCGAAGGAAGCAAAAAGAGGAGGAGGCAGAACGACCGTGACAAAGAAGGGAAATCAGGGGAGGTCCTCAGCATCACCGCTCTCGTTAGCCTTAAGGCTTCTCGCCCCTTGTGGACTACACCATCGCACAAAGGAGGCGTTCCTTCCTCCTTTGACGACTCAAAAAGGCGGCTTTGGAAAGCACTCTCAACGACCGACCCGATCCTGCAGACTTATGCCTCTCCAACGTCTTCCCAAACCCCCTACCCACCTCACAAGCCCCCAACCCAACTTTCCTTATGGGGAAATCGTGTGAGCCGCAACGCCCCGGCGACCAGATAGCCCGTATGCCACTATCCGTGTCGCTGAACGCAGTATACTGTATCACGTGATTGAGTTTCGGCGACGCGAAGGCCGAGACATGCTGCGAAGGGGCCGCCGCGAAACCAGGTGGTTAGAGGCCCTAACCATAACGATGGCACTTACTTTGAAGGCGTCCATCCACATGAGTCCCTTCCCGCAGGCGACAATGGCCGCATTATACGTGACTATGTTCGGCACTCCGAGCCGCGTCCGAAAGCCCCAGAAAGCGTCCAGAGCGTCGGTGAAGCGTCCGCAGAGCGCCAGAACGTGTATGTACAAAGTCTGGGAGTGCGAGTCGGGGCGCAGGCGCGCGCGCAAAAGTTCCTGGAAGAACTGGAGAGCCTGCAGAAAGCTAGCGGTCTTTCAACGGCTTATCCCCAAAGTTGTGCAATTGATCGTAGGAGTGCGGCTTCTGTTCTGACAACGGCTTACAATTATCTCGGGAAGGTACTTGAGCGCGTTTCTGGAGATTCTGAGAGAGACTGAGATTGAAGTGGGTTAGGCCTGGTTTTTTCCCTTTCTCGAGATGGTGTAGATAACTCTCTAGTTTCGACTTCTTGGTTAAAGGACCGCGATTTTTTCCAAAGAACCTGAGAGCGCGCGAATCCCTGTGGAAGAACGGGAGAGCCTGCGGAAAACGAAGGAAAGGGGCCCCCCCATTGGTGCGGATAAAGCAGAACAGCTTGTGACCAATTTGTCTTTAAGGAAAACCCTGAGCGTTGGGGAGCAGAAAAGGGGTTTCCGCGAACGGTGAGTGATTTCCGGTTCTTATCACCTCTGGCTATTCCTTGAATTCAGCTTCAGTGTATAAGCCCATATGGTTTGTTCGCACGCAATGATGTCACTTCGATTACCTCTCAAAAGCGTGTTAATCTCACACCTCTTGCGCTTGTGAACAGCGTTTCGACTACATGTTCTTAAGATCCATTATTTGCTGTTTGATATGTTAAGAGCATCGTTTTCAAACAAGTGGCTTTTCCAAATCTTCCTTCACGTGACTTGGGTACATTGTTCCAACATAGGCAACCGCGAGGGTTTCAACAGACGAGCTCTTATATTACTTAGCCTATCAGAAGGAAGATCCGCAGGAAGCAGCGCCAGCTGGCAGAAAGGACGAGCCACGTAAAATAAGAGACGCACGAAACGCAAGGCTTGGATATTTCGTAACTCTCATGTGAAATAACAGGCGTTTGACCCACAATTTTATATACCCGGGTGCTTGGAGTAATAGCCCCAACTCAGAATCTGTGCGCTCTGCCCACGGACCCACCCTAATCACCAGCTTAACCCTACCTGTTCCTATCTGAAGTAACATGCCTTTAAAGTCACGGGAGAGTTATCGGAGTAGCTTCCCTGACCTCGTCTAAGTCTTCCGCCTGGATACACGCTTGCATGACGGCGTTATAGGAGCCCACGTCCGGCTTGAGGCCCTCTTTCTGCATCCACCGGAGGAGCGCAACGGCCGCTTGCCGCTGCCTACTCTGAGCGCATGCAGAGATGGCCATCGTGCACGTTTGGACCTGAAAGCAGAGCTTTGAGTTTAGGCGTGAGATCTATCATCGGAATCATCGATTTTGGGACTTTGCGATACTAGGGTGTTATGTCGACTTCCGCTGATCACGCAAGGGATATAAGCTTTTCAGAGTGCTGGGTTCAAGGGACCTGCGGAACGCGAACCAAAGCAAAGCCAGGGCGCAAAAGAAACAGAATCATCATCCAGTCATCAACCAGGACGACGAAGTTGCACTCTCTTTAAGCAGGGTTTCTCAGCGTCGAACTGGAATGGGTCGGTGCATCTGCACTCACAGCCAGTTTGCAGTCCATCCCAAAGCCGCCCTTCTCGGCCGCTTTCACCATCTCGACCACCGAAAACAGCTCTCAACAACTTAGCATCATGGATTAGCAAACTTTGGCAACCACCTTATGAGCGTCCAACAGGGAAAGAATTTTCACTCACAGACAGTTTGCAGTCCCTCCCAAAGGACCCCTTCTTGGCCGCTTTCACCATCTCGACCGCCTGTTCCCACCAGTGGGCCGCGCCAAGAGCCCGCACGATGCAAGAGAGCGCAAAGTCGTTTCGGGGGAGGCGCGCAGCCTGCAAGGCGTTCCAGAAATCCATGCAGCGCTCCCATTCGCCAGCACGCGAGCATGACGTCAGCACCTGCAGGGGTCCAGACTGTGACGTCAGCTGGTGGCCGAAGTATGCCAAGAGCCCGCATCACGCAAGAGAGCGCAAAGTCGCTTCGCCTGCGAGAGGCGCGCAACTCGCAGGCGTTCCGGCACTTTCCGCAGCGCTCCCATTCGCCCGCAGGTGAGCATGACGTCAGCACCTGGAGGGGTTCAAGCTCTGACGTCAGCCAATGGCCGAAGTATGCCGAGAGCCCGCACAGGCAAGAGAGCGCAAAGTCGATTCGTGGGAGGCGTGCAGCCTGCAGGGCGATCCAGCAGACCATGCACTGCACCCATTCGCCGGCGCGCGAGCACGACGTCAGCACCTGCAAACAGTCCGAAGGGCGGTGCGAAACGGCTAATTATTGTTGCTACTCTGGCGAGGAAGAAAGGGAACGGCTGTTATGAGCTCTGGGCTTCGAAGTTTTTGCGAACCTTCAGCGTCTAGGAGCCGCTGTAATCGTGTTCGTTGTCAAAAAGCGGAGTCTGGATGGAGGAGGGTGCAACCTTCTGACTTTTGACGTAGACTGCAAGTTTAACGTGACAAACAAACTGTTCCCTAGGCGCAGACGAAGATACATTAGGCACTCTTGTTACGGCGCCAACTAAGCAAGCTGCATCGAGTTGAATTCTTGAGCAGTGTTCGGACCTTGACCGGGTATTCAGATCGGTGGAGTTTTCAGAAGCGCAGACCGATGAATCGAGGTCTATGCCCTTCAAATTTAAGGTATTCGAAACACAACCCCGTGATAGAAAGTGCATGTCATGTCGATCCATGTCGATCCATGACCGCAGGTACAAGCGTTTGCATCTCCAGAACCTTTCGGAACCAGATACTGGACAGGCAGACCCGGAGATCGACCAACAGATCTTCCCGCACATACGATCGCAACCCAGAATCTAGCGCAAGTGCAGAGTGAAACAGAAACAACTCCACAATGAGATCAAGCGCACGGGAATGACCGGTTACTGACTCATATGTGCCAGCGTCACCCCTCTTATCAGAATGGATGCAAAGCACTCCCAAATCCTCAAGAAGAAGACCAGACCCGGAAAGAAGTCGCACGACCTGCTGAAGCTGGCAACAAAGTCAGGAAGAAGTCAGGATACGGGCTCCAGCCAAACTCACAGAGTTGTAAGTGATCTGCGTCGGCGCTACTCCGTCCGCTTTCATGCCCTCTAGCAGCTCGACGGCGGTGCGCCATCCGTCCGATGCCCCGATCAGAACGTTGTACGTTACGGCATCCGGCGCCGGTGGGGGGGGCCAATCCGCGGGCCATTTTGCCCCCCACCGCAGGCACCGCTGCAGCGCCCTTCTTACGTCAGCTTTCGACTGCACCCCGTTTCTGACGTCAGCCTTGGACTGCATCCCGCTGCTGACGTCGGCCTTCAGGGGAAGCGGATCTTGCCTTGCGCGACTAGACTCGGAGGAACGAGCGGGCGATGTGGACCTCTCCCTTTCGGCCGTCGGTTCTGTGACAGGAGCCTTGTTACTGTGTTGACGCTCGACTTCGGCTGACGTCAGAGTTCGCCTGCTTTCTTCCGGGAGGTGACGCGAACGACCTTCTTGCAACCGAAGCTGCCGATGGCTCTCATCGGTGCTCTGCGGATCGCCGCTGTTTTCCGCAGAGCAGGCCCCGCATCGTTTGTGAGTCTCGTCAGCGAGCTCAGCGTTCCGACCGTCCGTCTGACTGCCAACCCGCGAACCGTCCGATCGAGCTAGCGTGGCATCTGGACCGTCCGTTTGCACGTCGACTCCCGAGCCGTGCGCTCGACTCCTCGCATCAATGGTGCGCCCGTGATACGCAGCGCCCTTTTCCCCCATCGTCCGACCCCCTCCCCCACTTCCCTGCACCAAACCCTTGTCCTGTCTCCGCTCAACATAACTGCCCCTTTCTTCCTCTGAATCAACCTCTAATGTCTCAACGCCACTTCTGAGGGCCGTTCCGTTGTCCAGCCGCACATTCCGGTTTTCCCGGAAGGCCCCAGCTCGCCCCTTGCCCGGGGGATCCCCCACTGGGGCGCTCTCGCCAGGGGGATCCCCTTTGGATGCGCTGTCCGCCTCAAGTACCCTTAAGACGACCGACGGAGAGTCCACGTGGCTCTGCCGACTCCCAAGCATGGCGCGTTTTAGCACCTCCAGACCGGTCAGCAGTTGAGAAGAACGCGTGACATCCTCCGTGCCCCTCAAGGGATCCCCCTCTGTCGTTCCACTTGCCTCCGCCCCTGTTCTTTCTTCCCGGTCTGCCTCATGGGACACTTCTTTCAGACCAAACCCCTCAGCCAAGGCATGCGGCAGTGTTCCAAGCTCTGACTTCGACGACACGCCCAGCAACCGGTCAACACCGACGCTGTCCCCGTTCACAATCATCGCAGCAACGTTTTCCCGTCCGGTTTCTCGGTGGCCCTCGAAGTCGCCCCTGCCTCGCCCATGCGGCCCGGCCGCTGCACTGCTCCCGAGCAGCATGCTGACGTCATCCCTTGCCAAGAGCCTCACGTTGTCTCCCGTAGGAGGATTGTGATCGACCGCTGGACTTGCCCCAATGTCTGCAGGCGCCGGCACGCTGACGTCATCTTCATCAGCAGGCTGCCTGAGGATACCACCTGCGACCCTTGGCTGGACCTCTCTCTTGAGGGCAGCTACGGACGCGTCTCCCGGGTTCTGTCTTTCTACAACACACGCCTCTAACGAACGCACCACGCTCGGGATGTGACCGCTTCTCTCCCCACGTTTTCCCCCAGCCATCGTCAACTTGCCCTTCGTTTCACTGTTCCTTGAGGCTTTGCCTGTGGTCGCGCGCCCTCCTTTGCTATCTCTCACTGCGCCGCCCTGCTCCTTCTCGTCAAAAGCAGTCATCCACTCATCAGAGAGCCCCCCCGGAGCGTCCCGACTTTCTGCGCTCCCTTCCACCCCCGTCTGAGAAGTAAGCTCCACCTGCTCGAAACTGCCCACCTGCTCATGCCTCCCACTCTCACTCGTTTCGGTCCTCTCTCTCTCCCCTTGAGGCGTATTTACACTGCCCCCGCTGAGCGTAGTCACACTCCCCTCACTCGCCATCCCCCCACCTCGCCGCATCGCTTCCAAGATCCCCCTCGCTTCCCGCACCCGGCCCCCCTTGCACAACACCGTCACGAGCGAGTTGCAACACCAAACGTTCGGCGCCACCCCCCTCTCGTTTATCTCCGCAAAAGTCGCCAGCGCCCCCCCCACGTCCTCGGCGCTCGCCAACGCTTTTAGAACTTCCGAGTAGCACCAGACGTCTGGAGGAGGCCCCGATGACGTCATCTCGCGGAGGATTTGAAGGGCGGCGTCCGTTTGTCCGACGCGGCCCAGTGCTCGCAGAGCCTCGGAATGGCCCCGGGTGTCGGGCGAGCGGCCGACTTTTCTCAGGAAGGAAAGGATGCCCCCGGCCGTGTCGCCCCAGGAGGCGGTGCCTAGTTCCTGAGTGGAAGAAGTATCATGGTTGAACCCCATTTTTGGCTACGGCCGAAAAATAGAAAAAGTAAGAAATTAAACATAGATATCGTGGTGAATCCCATTGCCCTGAAGGAGAAGTGAAGTGAGAGAGAGAGAACCGCCGAATTGGCCACCTGACGCCAATGGACTCTCCTTCAAGTGTTCGGTGGAATGCAGAGAAGATTTGTCAACATTCCCAATGCATTCGGAAAGTTTCAGAAAAGGTCCTGGATGTAAGGATCGCAAGAAAGTGCGTCCACCAACTGATTGCTGCGTACCTGCCCTTAGCCCTGCCCCTCATTCAGAACCTGACCGCGAGTATGAGTGGTCACGTTCTAAAATTCAAATGATGCTCACAGAGCTATGCCTGTCAACCACTTGAACAGAACATGGTGCACCCTTATATCTTTTCTGTGGAACGGCAAGCAGCGTACCTTCATAAGCAAACCGAACGTCCGCTGATCGCACAACCACTCGAGGTGGGCGCCCAAGGTCTTCTCATCCGGTGTTCCGTTGCGCCGACCTTGGAGAAGCCGATCGAGTATCAAACGAGCCTACGGAAAACGCGTAACTCATTTTGATTATATGTGATGTGGCTCATGACGGACCCCTGCCGATGGAATTCCGCAGTTGTGCAGTTTTGCAAAAGATGTTGTCTGATACGATTGGGTAAAGTCTGAGGTCAATCAAATTCACTTGCACTTTCTCTGGTTTGGCAAGAATCGCTGGTTGTCAAACCCTTGTTGCTGCGGACTAAATCAGGAGCGCAGCATTTGTGAAGGAGACGGAGGCTCTCGTTACAGTACAATGTATGATATTAGTCAAACAACCCGACAAAACCCGTCTCCATGTCTGTGGGGGTCTTCAAAAGCAAGAAAGTCACTTAGATCCTAAGGCAGGGTTTCTGAGCTGGCGTCCAGTGTGCAGCGCTTCAAAGTGGCTGCATTTGGATATAGTCCATCGAAGCGACTGTGCTATACGAGATTGAAAAGCAATACCTTCTGCCCTTGAGAGTTCACCCACCTGTTCTGCAGCTACACGTTTCCGCTGATCCTTGGCAGCCTCCGCATCCCGCAACTCCTTTGCAAGCCCCCGCTGTAACCCAAACCCGCCTATCAGTGGGCTCCCGTTAGCATCTCGCACTACGAGCGGCGCTTGTAGATCAGCCAAGACGAAAGCCCTCTGAAACGTTGGCTCTTGTTGCTTTTGTATGTTGCCGGCCCGTTGTCGCTCAGCAGCAAGCGAACAGCACGGTGCATTTTGTTTATGGGGGCAAGTACTGGGGCCCGGTTCGAGAAACCCCTGAGACGAACTCAACCGCCCGAAGGGCCGGTCAAACACTCTGATCCGCCCTGCAGTGTGCGCTTTGATTGATTTGATTGTACGGGTCTCTGACGGGTGGTTTACCGGCCTTCCTTCGCTCAAAGCTCGGTCAAGGAATCCACATTGACCGGAGGAAGGTGACCACCCTTTTGTTGGTAAACAAGCCGCCGAAGCAAAGCTGCGAGTTTTGATGCCTCCAACTCGGCAGCTGGCGACTTTGTGCACCTTCTGACCCGCCCGATCAATCGCAGCCATAGGGTCAAGCGACACCTTCTTCACTACTTACCTATAGCAAATCAGAAAGCATTGCAGGCATTTGTGGCTGGTGGTTTTGCACGGCTGGTGCCAACTCAAGCGCTGCGCGGCTGTACCACAGAGAAGGTTGCTGTTCTTTATTGATCACAGCATTGGAGACTTGACGCCGCCGGATGCAGGAGGTCATCGTGCAAGGAAAAAACCATGCGATCTATCTAAACTACCCAATGGAATGTAACGTGGCTCGCCTCTCCTTGTGAAAAACTCATTCGAGAGGGTACACCACTGCCGTTGGCCTTTACTGAAGGGGGACTGAAGGAAACTCGAATCTGGCTAGCTGAGAAGCTCGTGAAAGCGCGGAGAAGCGTTCAGAAGCCCATTCCTGCAGCAGCTTTGTGCACAATGCACATCCAATCACATCCAATGCAGGAGGCAGATCAGCGTTCGGCATCCGAAGAACGATCATGCAATGGCATCAGCATCGGATTGTTGGGGGATATCTGATGCGGCCATGCCACGTAGGACGAAAAGCGAAAGTGCTGCATCACGTCACAAAGCATCTGGGCCGTCAAATGATGCCAGCTGGCATCTTGCTAACCGCAGACTGGATGCTCCGTCACGTACCCCAAGGTCATAGCGGACCGGCCACGCGTCAAGGTGTATTCACACAAAGCAAGATGGTGACGCTTCGAGAGGTGAGAAAAACTCCGGATCCGATCGGCGGTTGACTCAGGTATTGCAGCGCAAACGTTGCAACCATTCGGAATCACAGACATATAATTACCTAATCGAAATCAACATCATATAATTTGAAATCAATATCAAATAATTAGAAATCAAAATCGAATAATTAGAAATCAAAATCAAACAATTAGGAATCAAAATCAAAATTGCTGCTCGTAGCCCACCGACCCCTCGGAAAAATGGGGTTCCGGCTTTCTTGCCCCTACAACCCTTTGTTTGACCCAAGGAGTCACCTTATCTGGCGCTGGTAGGGTCCGACTTCAAACCCCCATGTCAGCTTGACCGAAGGGCCTAGGTTTAATGCTCTGCTTGCCTAACGCGCCACCGTGATCGGCTTAACCCTACCGGCTAAACCAGGTCGACCTCGCACCGGGAGCTGCTCCAAGGCTTCTTCTGCGATCGATACCGTCGGATCACACAAAAGATAATGAACGGCTTTAGATGAGGCTTAGCTTGCCCGTCGATCCGGCCGAGCTACCATCTGACGGCCCAAAGCTTCAAGATCAATCTTGATTTTGATTCCTAATTGTCTGCTTTTGATTTCTATTTATTTGATGTTGATAACTAGTTAATTGATTTTGATTCTTAATTGTTTGATTTTGATTCAAAATTTATCAATTTGATTCCAAATTTTAGCAATTTGATGTTGATCTCAAATTATTGCAACGTTTAATTGCGCTGCCATCCTCAGGTTCAACGGCTGGGAAGCTGGTTGACGCGGTCAACCTCCCCAATTTCGTGACTTGGTTTCTGCGGGCCTGCATTCACAGTTTCTTCAGTCCACAGGAGGACGGTGGCGGCTGATCTCTGCAAAAAGGAGTCTTTGAGTAGCCTTTCTGTCTCTCCCTGTCTTTGTGCAAGCACCCGGAGAGGTGTTGGTCTATCTGAGGATCCCAGAGGCAAAGGAAATGTTACCGCCCTCAAGGCGTTTCCGCCTGAGAGTCAAACAGAAGCGTAAAAGTGGTGCTTAGAGTTATGACTCAGACAACTGTGGTTAGGGCCTCGGCCCTCGGGCATCTGGCTGGCTTCAGTGGCACTGAAAGCCAGCGATGCTCTACACCTTACGGGAGCACTCTGAATACAATAGATTTCAGCAAAAGCACACGGCTGAAAAGCAACAGCAAACAGCATAGGATAGACAGCAAAAATCGTTGTGATGCTAACTTCAAACCATTGTCAGGTGGATCACAGCGGGCTCAATCTAGCCAGCGTTATCAGACCACCTGGAACGGAAAGCATCGAGAAATTGGTCCAGATTTCGGGCCGCCGGATGGGCTAATTCTGTATTCAAGCAGGCGAGTTGTAAAGAGCCCCGCATTCGGGGCCAACGTAGTCAATTCTTTGAATGAGACGGCACGAAAGAGTAACAACGCGCGCGGGCCAGCTCCAACGCGTTTCTCGAATGGAACCCGGTCGTTTGGGGGGTGCTCACCGGTTGACGAGGACGAGTTCACATTGAGCCTGACCTCGTTCAACATCTTGGCGCCCATTTACTACAGAAAGTGGGAGGGGAAGCGGGAGAGCGAAGAAAGGGAGGCGTGGTGGGAGCGCAACAAGAAGATAGTGGACATGCTGGAAGAGAAGCACTCTTCCATCATCTGTCTTCAGGTGCATTCTCAGCAGATCCACCGAGTCTCGTATTCAAGCTGATTGCTCAGATACTTATGAGAGTTGAACGATGTTGATGTGGAGATCTTGAAATCAGCTCCAATTTGCATCCTAGGCACTTGCTTTGGGTTTGACTGGCCCGCAGTTTGCTGTGGACGCCCTTCCCACAGTGTCTCGAGCACTCTGTCTGAGGTGCTGGCAGCACCGTTTGGCGCTTGCTAGTGTAATCAAGTGAATGGCCTTCTGCGGCACATCGGTTTAGCAAATGAGTATATTCCTCATCGACCAGAATCCTTCAGCAAGATTTCCGTACTTTGGGCCGCTTTGTCTGTCACCTCCTGCCTCGACTTCCATTGCAATTTTGTCACCTTCCTTATCTGGTTGGATTACAAGTTAGACAATCTGGGGCAGATCTCAAAGAGTGCCGGTCAGCTTTTGCAAAAGGGTGCTGTTGGCGCAACTTAATCCTGACAAAGCAGCATGTTGGGCTGCAGGAGTTTTGGTTGGGCAATCCAGAGCTGTGCGCACTGTATACCAGCCACCTCCACAAGATGGGCTATGAAACATTCCAGCTGGCAAGGACAAATAACCGGGGCGATGGTGAGATCACGCCCCAACACTGAAGCACGGCTGTTTGCTTATGCTCATGCTCGGATGCTCAATTCAGCACCTTCTTCGAGATTGACCATTGTACTTTTGTTTTTGAAAGCTACAGATTGCTTGTGGTACTACCGAAGTTATCACCGTAGTTGCTGGCCTTACCAGGGTCCTGCAAATGGTCCAGAAGTGCAATCTGTGTCCTTCCACCACAGCGCTGCTGACCTTTCAGCTGCCATTGACACGTCTAAGCTGCATTTGCTGAGTAAGAGGCTCGTGGGTTCCTTGGATCTCGCATTCAGGCTGCCAACTTCCAGTAATTGGACTAATCCCCTTTTGAGCTCCACTCACCCCCCCCCCCTCAAGGCCTGCTCATTTGCAACCGACACCTCAGAGCTGCGCATCCGCTGCCGAGTTCCCAACTTCACCTCTCCTCCCTCGCAGGCCTGCTCACTGCAATCGACAGTTCTAAGTTGCGCGTCCTCGACCAACAAGACATCGAGTTTCGGGACTGCGGCGATCGTGTCGCCCAGCTTCTGCGGGTGCAATGCAAGCACCTCACGCGTGGCGGGGACCACCCGTCGGAAGCAACAGGGGATTGCATCGTGGGCACAGAGCCATCATGCCCCATGGAGTTTCTGCTCGTCAACACGCATTTATTGTTCCCGCACAACTCCAACTCGACGCTCATCCGCTTGCGGCAGGTGATTTATGGTCCAGCTTGTTCCCTGTTGATCCTTACTCTCTTTATATGGAATAAAAGCTGAGACTTGTTTGTTTTCTCCTGGCTGTTCGCAAGCTTTCTCCTCGGTGTTCGTCTTGTACAGTTGGGAAGTTTGACTATCTCTCCATCTTACGAGCTTCTTGGGTATATGGATGGGGGTTTTCTACGTCTCGACCCCTACTGCACCACTTTTCAGATGTGACAACCGGAGTTTACCAATCCTTTTGCTTCAACTGGCTCAAAAGCAATCCAGACTGCTCAGGCAAATGAACGCGGTGCATGAGCCACCTTTCCAGCTTCAGACAATTATTGATCGATTCCCTTCTAAACCCAGCGCTTGTCCTGGCAACCCAGGTGTGCAAGATTCTGGAACATCTGGAGCGGTACAAAGCGGAACAGAAGCTCCCGCCCATGCCGATCGTGCTGTGCGGCGACTGGAATGGCAGCAAGCGCGGGCAGGTCTACAAGTTCATGCGCTCCCAGGGCTTCTCGTCTTCCTTTGACACAGCACGCAACTTCGAGGACGAGACCCTGCAGCAGGTGAGCAGTGGTGTCAAGTCGTTTTAGAAACGGTTTGAGTAGTTGTTTCTTTTGTCAAGGAATGGTCCGTCTCTCTGCCTCTCGTGTCTAAGCTTTCGTCAATCACCTTTCTCTTCTAGCTCAAAAATCTCTGAAGAACGGGATGCTTTCAGCCTTCTCTTCGTGTTGTTTCTTAGGCCGTTGGGTCATTCAAAAACCAGTGAGGATGTGCTCTTCTTGAATCATCTGACAGCCCTCCAAGCTTGCGTTTGAAGGACTGTTGAATTTGAGGTCGCACAAAAGCCTTTTACCTGCAGATATGTCAACTTGTATGAAGTATCCTATCCGGGCTTGTTCCCCTTCTCAACTGAGCACTTCACCCGACCCGAATCCCCGCTTGACCCCTGCCCTCGTCTCTTCCCCAGTGGATCAGCCACCGTAACCACCGGGGCAACCTGTGCGGCGTCGACTTCATCTGGCTGCTCAACCCGAGCGGCCAAATGGCCCCCCTCACCGCCGACTGGAAGGCGGCCGTCTTTGGAATGATCAAAGCGAAGCTGACCAAAGCGGGCCTACGAGAGCGCGATGCGTTCCACTTCTTCCAGGCTGGAAGCGAGGCGCGCGAGCAAGATGTGGTGACCTTGGAGGACTTCATACTCGCGATGGACCAGGTATGGGTGGCATCTTGGGGCGTTTATCTTGCGGGGTGACATCGGGGCCGAGGAGGTTTCTTAAACTTACTCAAGAGAGGAGAGGGAGGGCAAACCAGCGTTGAACAGAAGTCCGAGCTTGTTAGGAGAGTGATCCAACGTAGGCTGGGGTGCTCCTTTGTAGGGGGGTATCTTCTGAAGGGTAAAGTCCGTGTCTGTGGAGAAGGTCGGACGCAATCGAGGATCAGAAAGAAGCTGTTTTAGCAACAGGCCAAGTGGGACTGTTTGCACGCAATCCTTTCCTGAGGGCGACGGAGGGGTTCTTCGGTTGCAGACGAACGAATCTGGTCGTCTTTTGCATCCGTCTATGTGTCCACGGTTCAATTCGCTCGCGCAGGTACTTCGTACACGCCCCGCTGGTGTGTTGGTTGTCGCTGAATATCTTTCGCTTTGTCTTCGCCTATTTCCCTTCCTTTTGCCGCCCATCCTGATTCCGTTCCCTGTCCGTTCGGCAGCTCGGCCTCACCGGAGAGGACTCGGTCGGCCTGACCAAGGAAGAGGTGGGGGAGTTGCTGGCGTCAGCGGACGCGGACGGCAACGGAGTTCTTGACTACGATGAGTTCAAGGTAAGTATCTGCTGCAAGCGGTCTTTCTTGGCACTAACATCGCGTTTGTTGCTATGCTTGTGCGCCCCCGCTTTCGATTGCGATCTGTTTGCAAATTTAAGTGGTTCTGTTTTGTGGGTTCTACTTACTTTGCTGTAGCCAGCATGTTCAAAAGAAGGACCTGTAAAGCTTTAACGTTTCTTTGGATTGGCGAGTGCCACAGCGGCTTCTCTCTGCTGCAATACCGCAAACGTAGACTTTTATGCACTTTTTCCACGTTTGCTGCCTCTGCAGCGTCAGTCGCTGTACCCTTCATCGTTCCGGCATGTTATAGGTGGTTCGCTCTTATGTGTCTTTCTTGTCTGCTTTCCTGACCGCTGCTGATTACTTTCCCGCCTCACGACACAGAGCATCCTCAAGACCCGCTCCATGGCCGAAACCTACGAGCTGATAAAGCGCGCCACGGGCATCGTAGAAGACCCCGCCACAGACCCGCCCCCTTCGCCCACCGCCGATGTACCCGTGGTACGTAGGAGCCGCACACCTAGTTGCCATAGAACCGCCCACTTTTCCAGTTCGACCCAATATAGTCGAATATTGGTGTTAAGGACATTTCACGGTCTTTTATACCGCTGCAGAATCAATCTTTGTTGAGGACTTCGTCACAATCGAGTCAGTCAGCCGCGTGTCGAATGTGTGCCTTTTTGCCGAGTCGTAAAGGTTCGTCCCTTGACAGTCGTAACGCTTTCGCGAACCCCCAGGCCTAGTCTCGTCTTAGACAATGAGGGTGCTGTCTTGCAGGGATACTCACTTGAGAGAGCCCTTGATTTGGGCTCGAAAGAATGATCAAAGACCACTTTCGATCCGGGCTAAGAAAGGCTCTCGAGTCCCGTCTGTTTGCCCTGGTGCTGCTTTAGCACCAGCGTTAGTCTGACCCCCTCGAGGCTTCCTCACATGAATAATTTATGCCATGCGTTTTTGTTTGCACCCTACGATTCACCGAGAAATAACTGGTCGCCGTTTGTACATCTCTCTGCTGCAAAACCAAGCACCTCTCTTTCTTCCCTTGCTTTCCTTCTCCCTCAAGGTTGCTCCTTTTATCCCCTCGAAAGTTTTCCCCTTACTGACGTCATCCCCTTCCCCTCCAGCACGCGGCGCTCTTCGGCGAGCTGCCGTCCCCCCGCCGCCCCGCCATCCCCCTCCAATACATGTACACGTCAGCCGCAGAAACCCTAAAACCCTGCGGCCAGAGCGCCCCGGGCGGCGAGCAGCGGCTCCCGCACCTGGACCTCGTCGTGCGGGACGCGTTTCTGGAGCCGGAGGAAATGGAGCACGGCACGTGGCCCGACGACTGGAACCTCTCGGACCATGCGCCAGTCACGAGCATCTTCGCGCCGGTGCTGAGGCGGCCGCTCGAGCAAGTGCGGTGACTATTGGGCGGGAGGGAAAGCTTTTGCCAAGGCGACCAATCTCCGGCCCACGAGTCACCGGAGATAGAATAGCCCAAAAACTGGAACCTATCGGACCATGTGCCGCTGACAAGCATCTTCGGGCCGGTGCTGAGGCGGCCGCTCGAGCCAGTGCGGTGAGAATTGGGCGGGAACGAAGGGGATGGTGGCAATGGGACGGAGGTTGGTCGCTTTGGCAAGAGCTTTGAGAACAAATAGCCCAAAAAGTGGAACCTCTCGGAGCATCTTCGCGCCGGTGCTGAGGCGGCCGTTCGAGCACGTGCGGTGATCAGTGGGCGGGAGGGAAAGGGAGGGTGGCCATGGGGCGGAGATTGATTCCTTTGAAAAGAGCTTCATGATGAAGTGGCCCGAGGATTGAGCTTGTCGGACCACGCGCCGGCGATGAGCATCTTCGCGCCGGTGCTAAGGCTGCCGCTCGAGCACGTGCGGTGAGAATTTGGCGGGAAGGGAGAGGGGAAAGCACTAGACGAAGATTGAGTCGCTCCAAGACGAGGTTTGAGAGGGAGGGAAGGGCGTAGCGGAGGTTTGATTCTTCAAGAAGCTCTTGAGGGGAAGGAAAGCGGGGTTAGCACTGGAGGGAAGACTGGTTGAGTGAAACCGATCGCCGAGAACGAGCGAGGCAATTGATCTGACCCCAAGTCTCAGCAACGGAGCTTCCTGATGTAGGGCATGCTGGCGGATGAGCGGTTTGGGAATGTGGTATCGACACCGGTCGCTCAAACAATTGGGTCGTTCATCGGCCGTCCTCTTATCTGCACTAACGTCAAGACGGCCGCTCGATGCAGTGCATTGAGACTCGTGGGTTCGGGACTCGGTCAAGAACTGTCTGCGTCTTTGTATTTTAAGATTTGATTGGTCAGAAAGCAGGGTGAACGAGGTGGAGGCACATTCTTTGTAGTTATAAAGCAGATAATCCAGGTCATAGTCTTACCCGATGTAGAGGAGTTTGTCAACCGATTGCGGTTCTGAATTCGTTCAAGTAAAGAGGTGCAATTTGATATAAGAAGAGGATACAAGTTCGAGATCAAAAGACATGCACCAGGCTGCATGCGCGGACCATTTGCATTTTAATACAGCAAGTCGCAATTCTTTTTAAATCACAACCGTTGGTGCCCTAGGGCTTGTTGCGTACTGCTTGATTCAAATTTGAGGCTTGCACCTCAGTTGTCATCATTGAAGTCAACGGGCCAGCTCTCTATATCATGTGCGGAAACCCTCATATTTTGCGAAATTACCATCTCATTCGATGAGCCGACTAGGTTACCGTTCAACAAACTGTGACTGCGCGTATCATGAGCATCTATTAGGTTGATTACTGCAAGAGTCGCATTAATGATATCGCCAAACGTCGGCCAGATCGGGCCCTTGCGCGGCGCCGGGTATATAGCCAGATCATGCCTGAATGAGTAAGATTTCGAACTAGCGCGTCCAAGTGCACATCATGTGCACGCGTCGACTGAGTTCATTCATCTGCTTGTATACGGCCGTGCGGGCACAACTGGCACATGCAAAAGCTGGCGGCTTATGCAGGGCACTTGCTGGCAGATATCTAGCTCATATATCCTCAATTGCCGCCACCCGGCTTAGCTGCGGTCTCTCAGCTTTAGTCAAATGATCGTTCTTGATTTTGCATCATGCACACGTAGTCACGGCTCAACCACTCGCCTGAGATAACCCGATGCAAGAGATCATACGGGGATCATACCTCAGCCCGATCTCGTGTAACAAATATACCACCCTCCCATTGGCCCAAGTCATCCCTCTGATTCGTTCGAGTCTTAGAACAGTACTTGGAAAGAAGAGTTTCATTCCCAATTGACATTTTTTAGGTACCAAGGACTTAATCCACGTGTCCCTAGCCTCAATTGAAGCCATAGACCTAGATATACTAGCGTCCGCTCGCTCGAGCATAGCGTACTTCGCCAAAACATCATGCGACTTAAACATGTAGAAGGGTAGCTGGATAGTGCTTGCCCTCAACTTGCGATGTTGGTTCGCACACTGAACGGGAGGTCACTCCTCATGCAACTGCATGATGTGTATGTGGCCGAACAATAGATTATGCTGAACTCCATATACAGGCTATAACTCAGTGGTGCAAGTTTGTGCATGATGTTGCATGCCCGAGGGTCGACAGATTGTAATGGAACACCCTTGGATAGCATCCGCATATTACGATCAAAGCGTGTAAAAGCTTCGAGCAAAGCGAACGGTATCAAGTGCTGGTAGTCCGTTCTGTTGAGAGCCTCAACGAAGCGCTGGTGTTATTCCTCAAATCCGCGGTGAGCACACGATTGCAACTAAGTATCTTTCACAAAACCTCTTATTGTCGGCAGGAAGACGATCCAATCTCTAGCGGACTATGTACAGCGCTTTGTCTTCTAATTTCTGCTACGCAAACTTACTCTCAAAGTCAAAAGGCTACTTGTAAGTTGCGGCACTCTCCGCTAGTGACCTTAGGGCGCCGGCACTGGGAGTGGGGTCGCCAGTGCAAAGAAAGAGAAGTTGAGACGAAGCAGGGTGGTATCGGTGGGGATGAATTGGGTGACTCTGATTCTGCCAGCACCCGTGGCGCCGGAAAAGATGCCGGTGCCCCCGACAACGGCGACATCCGTCGTGACGTTGGTCAAGCTGTTGGAGGGGCCCTGAAGGGAGAGATATCGAGCGTTATCTCATGAAGAGGACCGTACAACGGGTCAGAAGAGGCCGGGAAAACTTTCACGATGTCACAACAACCAAGGAAGAAGTTCGCAAGAGCAATTTCGCTTGTCCTGGAGTAGGACACAGAATCTCATCGGTTGGAGGCTTAAGGACTCCACTCTGTTTCGGCCAGCGTAGGAACCGATGAAGGCGCCCGGAAGACGGAGCCGCTCTGTGTTATGTTCTTATGCTGCGTAAAGGACGATCCAAAGCCAATCAGGTTTTCAAGAGTTTCTGATGGCTTTTGAACTGAAGATACAGAATTTGCATGACAAGGCGTTCCGTCCAAGCTCACAGACGTAAGCAAAGAGACTTCTTCAACCTGAATGTTGGGGGTATAACGGTTACACTTGACGATTGGGGCGTTAACGTTGCCACGATTGTGACAGCTGGCGTGCGTCCTCGTCACGATAGTACAGCTGGCACGTGTCCTTCTTATAGTCCTTTTCACTGCCTGCGATCGTATCATCTGGGCTGCTGGCATGTGGAAGAGAAAGTTTCAAGTGGCAAGATCAGGTTGACTCACTATGAAAGCGAAGCTGTCCGCGGGGTTCGCAGCGGAGATGACAGTCGCCACGATCTGAATGACGGCCGCGGGAGGGTTAGCGGTCAGGTCGAGCCCCTGAGTGAAAAAGGCAGAGCCTGCCAAGCGGCCGGCCAGCGGCTGCGTACTGTTGGCAGTGCTCGTGATGATATCACTGCACGTCAGAAGGAGAATGGTCGAAATCAAGGGTCACAGGGTAGTCACCAGTGAGCGAACGGAAAGAGAGGCATGTTTCAAGAGAACAAAAGCTTAGCTTGTAAGAAGTCCACTCGCAGAGAAGATTTCGTAACAGAGACATCAGGATTATCTTCAGAGACTCTGGAGTATAAAGTTGTGTAAGATTGAGTTTGCAAGGAACTCGTGTCAAAATGGCACTCAGGGTTCGCATTCATGATTTCTTGCTGGTGTAATTTCATTTGCAGTAGTACTGAGAAGAGCCAAACTCGGGAAGCCCAGCTTGTCAACTACGAAAAGCGAGCTGACCAATCATCACGTGCCTATCTGGCTGTCAGACTCGCATTCCAACCGCGATGCCTCGTTCAATTGAGTCAACATTTTCTTGCAACGCCGTTGCAAAGTTTGAAGCAGTAGCACAGCAGACTTTGCCTAGATCGCGAAGGAGCGTGCAATTGAAACCAATATGATCACGCTCTGCTCACTTGAATGTGAAGCTGCTTCCGAAGGTCAGGCTGGCAAGGTTGGTGGTCAGGGGCGTCTGCGTCAGCACCAGCTGGAGAGTAAACGGCACGTACTGCAGGGGCCTAGGGGGCACAATAGGCCGGTTCAGGCCCGGCTGCGCGCGCACGCCACCCACCACGGCTGACATCAGCAGCACGAACTGCACAATCACACAAAAATTAGCAATATGTATCGCGAACAGCAATCAAAAGCAACAAGGGCAGGTTCACCCTGCAAATACACACTGCCTCGACGACTGGACTGAACCTTAGAAACAAATAATCACTACTAACAATAACGAAACTGCACCAGCACACAAAGCTTAGCTATACATAGCGAACAGCATTTCGAGACACCATCAACAACCTTGTGCCCATGACATCGCACTCTGTACGTGAGATTGATGCTGTTAGACTGCTCATCGATCGAGGCCTCTGTGCTGTATAGTCAAGCACTGCAACACCTTTCCAAACTCACCTTGACAATCAGCGCGCCGGTAGCCATTTTGCTCTTGCTCTGCTGGAAGAGGAGGCGAGGCCTGGCCTTGACTTGATAAAAGTTGGAGGGCTGTGTGTAGTAGGAGCAAGCTTCGAGTATTGGCGTTGGAAACAAAAGGAACCTCCTCGTATATGTCTCCAAAGCGAGGCCTTCAATACGACTTGTCTGATCAAAGCACTGCTCCTAAGGGCGTCTACTCCTGAGACTCCGAGTCACATTCTCATCTGCCGAGTCCTCAATTGCAAGCTTCGACCGTTGACAAGCTCAAAAGTCCAGTGCATGCAGCGCGCTCTGATTCGACTTCACCAATTCTTAGGTGCTTCTTCTTGGCCCTGAGGTTTGAGCGAGCACGCGTACGTTTTTGTTGTTTCCACTGAGCTAGGAGGGCATGTAATGCCCACAATCCACCCTTGGCTTTCGGGCATTGTTTCTGCCCGCCACACCAGCATGTGATAGAAGGTGATGACGCGATTCAGGCTTTCTGATTGGTGAGAGGATTACGGTGTGTCCTAGGTACGTAGGGACGCACACTGAGAACTTTACACTAGTGGAATCCTAGATTCGATGTGAGTTTGAGTTCTGCTGATCAGTCATTGAGCTAATGTGGCTCACAACATAGGGAGCGTCAGGATTTCGCGATTGCCGCAGTATTCGTCAGAGCCTAGTACTTTCAAGCACTCCAGGATTTGTCATGTACGTCTACATTGGAGCTGAATTGAACACCTGGTGCTAAACTTTGCTGCGGATACCCAACGCGTGTCCTACATTGAGGTGTTTTACATGTCCAACAATCGACTAATACCGTCCGGACAGGATGTAGACAGCCTTTCTTCTGATGACAACATGCTGCAAAGCAGATCTCAGTGGAAGTCGGGGCAACGCATGCGCGTGCGCACGCGCATAGCGACCAGCGCCCTCAGCACAAGGCCTGGTCCGAAATGGTTGCGCGAGTCTATCGAAAGATTCTGCGCAATTCGATTTTTCGCCGGAGTCACGGGCCGTTGATTGAGGTTGCGCGACTTCAAATCTAACCTTGCGCCGAAACCGGCGAGCACTGGAGGTACGACTCGACCCTCCAACGGTTGGCACCGCGACGGGAACTCTGCGGCCTACGTTATATATGTACGTTATGTATGTTGGGAACCCCCCTAAATCGATGCCCGCGGCTCGTACTCCAAATTAACTGGAAACACATTCTCCTCATTTTGGTCCTGGCTGATGCAACATATCGTTGTACTTATCTTCTTATAGAGATTTTAAAGCAAAACGCCAAGACAAAGCAATTGTAAGGCGTTGCATGCATGGGGCATTTCCTTGACCTCTCTGGACTCTGTTCGGCTTTCGGCCTCCCTCTTACACTGGTTACACCGCGTAGAACCTAAGAAGACAAGAAGACGACGTTCGAAGCTAACCATTCCCCATTGCTTTTCCAATCATCTGGCTCAACTATTCCATCAACGCATTATTTGCTTGCATTCCATCATGATGCATCATTGGGGGCGGCCGGCCCATGCAGGCTTCAACCTGTTCCATATACAACGTTATTGCACCCATCAACCCATGCAATACTAAATGTGCAAAGCTTTTTAGGCAGCAGTCACGGGTCCATCCCAGACTTAGATTAAGTCGGTTTATGTATAGCTGCAAGCGTGACAACAATCCTGTGCGGCCATGCACACAATATTCTCCGCTTCGTGCGGTTCCTGCGTAATGCTTAGTCATGCTCAAAAATTCGCAAGATCAAGTTTATGGATGAATTAAATGCAGCACCGCGGCCAGGATTAATTGCACGTAGCAACGACTGCATACGAGTCAAGCATGGTAAATCTACCATATGAACCACGGTACACTGTTGTTGGGTACCGTCGATTGCTCAATATTATACAGCCACGCAATGATGAGATGCAATATTTAGAAACGGCCGTCGCCCTAGGTGCATGGCCTAGTTCAGAAAGCATAAACGCGAGCCTAGCCATACCCGGGACGCATCCTGCATGATAAGAATGATGCAACAATGTATAGCATGACCGTTATTTGATTTGAGCCCATGCTCGGCCCGGATGATACTTAGAAAAGTTTGCGGGAAGTGGTCACTGTACGTGTGCTTCAATGACTTTGTAGTCAACCGCGATCACTCAGAATTTTGAACCACCCCTTCACTTGGTTACAAGTAGTCAAACGTGTGGGCGACATGTTATTAGTGTTGCATCCCTTAACGTTTGCTGCTTTGTTTTATGCTGCTGCAACCAAAAAGTGTATGCAGCGGCTTTCCATTGCATCTCTTGTACTTAGGAAGGTACTAGACTGCAATTGTACCATCTTATGGGGTAACAAGCATCGACCGCCTCGCTAGACCAATACCTCTCGAGCACAGCCTTCTTACTTGCCATCATAACTACGTTATACAAGGTCTTACCACAGAGCAAATTAAAAGCAACGGGACACATAACGTTGATACTTGAAGATACACAACGGCTTCTGCTATAGCGACCTTGCTTCAGAAGCACACACTTTGCTGGTCAAGGATCACCGTCTCTGGTTGCGAGTCGATGCTAGTTCCTTTTGGAAGTTGACCTCCGCCAGAGCTTGCTCTGCGACTCGTAGAACCTCCCTGCATCCAAACAAAGCCGGAAACATTGAAGACCTGAAAGCCAGGATGAAACAGTCTAAGAGCATGCTGAAGCAAACAAAACTTGCAGCAGGAAAGTGTGGTACGAACGGGAAGAAAGCGAAGATGTAGATACTGCCTAGTGGCAATCAGAGGACCAGACGGCGTCGGTATTCCCACTGCGAGTCCCCCTCAATGTCAAAAAACCCCGAGCTGGATCGTTGGTTTACCTAAAGTTGGAGTATTTACATGACTAGCTTGGCTCTTTAGGAACATCTGACGATCTGCACAAAGAATAGCCAATCAAGCCCAGTTTGCATTGCGAGGGCCCGCACTTTCTGCTACGAACTCCATCATAATAGGAACTTGTCTATCTAATGCTGGGATCCCGCTTCCCACCAGATGCAACCCCAAGAGCTCTTGCTTTCCATCCTTTCAATTCTGCACAGCATCATAGCTTTTTTTAGCGTCGCTCTTCTCGACATCCTGCCTTTTTGGAGGATGTAACCGGAGATAAGCTACCTTCTCATGCTCCCATTTATCCCAATCGACTGGAGCTTTCTATCATGATCGCTGGCCCCAAGAACTCCTCTTGCAAAGTCTTCAGAACTTCCTTGAGCCTTCCAAAACCCAACGGAGAAACCTGGCTAACCACTGGCGGTGCCGCTTGGTCACCAGTTGACATTGCACCATGATTGAACCCTCAATTTTTTTGACAGATTAACGTGGGCGTTCGCATATCGAACGCCCTTCCGGCAAGGACAAGCCTCAATTTCTGACAAAAGAGAGAACAATCGGCCGCTCACTCGTTGATGCTGCTCAGCTCCCGGATGCGCTCGACCGTGCCCCACACCGCCTCCTTGGCCTCCTCCGCTTGCTGCGCTCGCTCCCGGGCCAGCTCCGCCCGCCGCTGCCCTTCCGACACCGCAGCCCGTGCCGCCGCCAGCCGCTCCTCCAGCACCTTCCGAGCTTCCGCCTTCTCGGCTTCGTACTGCAAGAGACGAGCAAAATCACCGATATATCAACTGGTCCGGGATTCAAATAGCGGTTTGCCCAGGATGTAGAGGCAGACGGCGGCCAGCAGAGGGCAAATAGGACGTTTACCAGCGCCGAAAATGGCGACCAAGCTGGGCAAAATGGCAGCGGCGAACTCATCAGAGCCAGTCTCATGCAACAATGCATCTGTGAAATGAAGACTCAGGTAAGCCTCCGGCTTATCGACGGGGTAATAGCTGTCTAGCATTGAATCAAGGCGTTTGTCATGTACGCCAAAGTCGAGCAGACTGCTGCCCTCAGCAACAGCCATGCAGTGCTTACATCAACAAAATGAGCAGAACTCTCAACGTTTCTCTGGGGGAAAACGGCTCAGGTTGTTTCAGTGGATTAAAGCCTGGGACTCTCCGGTAAAATGTAGGATGGAGATGACACGTGCAAGTAAAATCTGCCTACCTGGGGGGGCGCAATGCTCGCCCGCGCCTCTACTTCCTGTCCTCTGGAGCTCAGCATGGTTTCCAGGACGCGAGGCGACCCGACAGCAAACAGAGCGCTTCCAACACGGCTGTAACGGAGAGTCCCTGGTTCGGTGGAGGCGCCCTCTGCAGACGCCTCAACTCTGATGACGCTGGGCTTAGGCGGGGTAGGCGGCAGGAGTGGGGTTGGAAGATCGGCGGGCTTCAGGTTCAGTTTGCTTCTTTCTACCGCCTGCGCCTTTCTGACGCTAGGATCAACGTACGCGGCCGTCTGCTTGGGCCGGGTTATGTAGAAGAAGGCGGCACTCAGGAGGAGGAGCACGCCTGCCGGCTGCCACAGGGAGAAGCCGCCCAGGGCCTGGGTGCTGGACGAGGGGGCGGGGCGACTGTCGACGGCCACCGAGGCCACCACGTTCGAGCGCCGGCTGACCTGCAATTTGCACAAGCGAATAGTTTAGGAACATGTCCTAGGTTATGCAGAGAATGTTAGAATGAGCGCAACAATGTCACACTTCTGACGCTCTTTATCATCCTTATCATTTCAGGAACCGCTCTCTCCCCAAGCTTTCTGGGTCATCACAACCTGAGTTCGTTCAACCAAGTTAACAGTGTCTTGGAAGAAAAATCTGCTCGACAGGGTATGAAAAACCTTGACACTGTACGACACATCTGATGACCGAGTGTTCTAAGGCACCACAATTATCACTACGATCATCACAGATTGTTGTTTGTGGTAGATAGAGATAACATGGACTTGGCTGAAGTTTCGTTACATGCGACAAACCAGATGATAATTGCTCGACTTACCTCATTTGCCTTCTGCGCAGGGACCCTTGGGACCAGGCTTGCACGCAGCTGCTCTTTAGTGCTTGAGAGGTGTCCTGTCTCTGCAATCCTCTTCAACTTTGCTGCCATCCGCTGCCTTTCCTGCTCATTGAGGCTGGCTCGATCCTTTACTCCTGGTATCTTGAGCTGCTGTCCTGGCAGAATTGGCACTCTCCGTGCAATTCTGATGGAGTTTGCATTGGCAAGGGAAGAGAGCTTGACATCGTGCTGCTTGGCAATCCGATACAGGCTGTCTCCTTTCTGCACCGTGTAGTAAGTTTCCTTGGGGGCAGAGGCCCTGGCAAGGACCTTTCCAGCGGGGATTGTTGACTGCACAGGACGGGAGGACTTCAGAAAACGGAGCAGCAAGCAGCAGGCTTCACGTGATTAAAATCTGCTGCCAGAACATTTACACTGGCAATTGAAAAAACATGTCAGGATGCTGGCAGCATCTCAGCATTGTTTGTGAACTCTGTACCTGCTTGCGGAAGTGCACAGGAAGTATTTCCCTTCTTACCAAGTGTATGATGCAAAAGCAGACCCTCACCTTGCTGGAAAGATCAGGAGCTCTGGAGAAGGAGGTCAATGCAGATCCTCTCAGAAACTCGCTCCTGAAAAACCAGAAGAGTTGAGCGGTCAGCGCACTACAGATGTCGGATACCTATATTTAGCTGGAAAACATGGTCAATGAGAAAACCCTATTCCAATCGTCTTGACAACGAACTGTGCAGGACAACACTTGTTTCCTCTTCACGTCACTTTGAAAAGGTTGGAGTTTAATTTTTTAATGCTGTTCCTCTGGGTGAATTGCTTACAATTGTTCAGCCTGCTTCTCCATTGCCTTTTTGACGATTAGAGCAAGTCCGAGGTAAAAGTTGATGAGGGCTCCAAGTCGTCATTAAAAGAGTCAGTCTGGTAATCTTTCTGGTTTGTTCAAGGGCACTGAAAATGCTAAAACTGCAAATGCCGAGGCCTGATCTAAAGTGCCAATGTTGCCTGACGCAGTCTAGGGCCCCCCAGCTAGGACGCTTTCTTATTCTTCAAAAATTACCTTGTGCTGATAAGGCTGGACGTTGCCGGTGCGTGCAATGCGCTCTTCACACTTCCACCTTGGCAGGTGTTCGTATGAACCACATTCAGAGCCATCTGGGCATCACTCGGCTTTCCACAAAACCGGCTTGTTTTGCTTGTGGCCCTCTCCAATGCTTGATCCTCTCGACTTCTTTGCTTCAATGACGTCCGCGCTGTCACAGATCTTTCAGCTTATCTACAAACAAAGCGAAAGGGACGTGCCGCTTATGTTTACACGCACAGCGACAAATGCTAGGCGGTGAAGACCCAGGGTTTGCCTTCTTTCCCTGTTTTGACTGCTGGTCCTGAAGCCTGAAGGCTGAACTTCTTCACTCTTCACAGAAGGCGCCCTTCTTGAACTTCTGCCGCGCGCTGTTCAGTGTTCTCACTTCTCAGGCTGTTCAGCAACTCGAGCAATGACGTACCTACACGTGTAGGATAACAAGGGCTTGGCGCAGGTAGCCCCGTGAGCCACGTGACCTTTGCAAACCGTCGATGAGGCCCACCGCAAGACGGACGGTCAGATACTGTCCAGCTTCAAGGCTTGACATCGACATTCCGGGCCGCCATGAGCTGCCCTCAGCACCCTCTCTGCCTCTCAGCACCTTTTGACGCGGAGAGGACCCAACACTAAGTATTCTGCGAATGATGATATACAAAGAGATACTAAGAAGAAATTTGCCATCGTGTTGAGCGAGCCTTGCAACACGGCAGACGGAGTATCCTGCTTCGGCTCTTCGGCCAATGAGCAGACAGCCTGAAGCGGGCTCATGAGATGGCCAGGGACGGTGAACGGGCATCCAGTGCATGATATGGTAGCTTCACCAGCTTCGAATGCTGAAGATTAGGACTAGACCACTCTTTGAGAAACACACTTGATATAATTAGCAGATAGCCCGTCCTCTCTTGTCCAAATGATCGAGGCTCTTGCAGAACCGATCCGACGAGGTGTGAAGCCACAACTTCTGGCCATGGGCTGGCGGTCGAAAAGACCGCCAGGGTCACCGACGTCGGGCACCGACGTTGGAGCTCAACAACAAAAGGCTTGAAGAGAAGTCGAGAAGTGACTCGGATGACTTGTCAGATCCGGTTCGACAAGGCCGGATTAATCCGTTGGCAGCTGACGTCAAAAGCCTCATTTGGGTGGCAGATGGAATGACCTCGTGATGACGCTTCAATCAAACAGTAAGCGACAGGCTTCGGAAAGAGCTGAGCGCGGGTGTACGCATGAAATCATTAATGAGTAGTAATGGGCTTTGCATACTCTCAAAGGGAACGTGCTTGTCTTGAATCCTGTTAGGCTTCTGCTGACCGGGATTAGAAGGACAGGCGGAAGCAAATCGGCGATGCTCCAGGGGCAATTTCCAAGAACGGCAACTCTCTATTTTTGGTGGGTTGAACTGGTTCCAAAACCTGGGATCTGACAGAGATAGTAACAGCTAGCAACGAAGTCGGTTTGAGTGGAATGCGTATATAACGTCCTTATCGATATGATCAATTCCAGTTTGATAAGGGGCACGGCTCAGAACCGGGACGTTCTTCGTGGGGCTCAATCAGGGCCGGGGGGCCCCAACACAACCTGGGCAGCATTGCTGCCGTCAGCAGAAGGAGAAAGTGGAAACGAGGAGCTGTGATGTTAGCTGTAGAAAGTAGAGTTGTGCTCGTGCAACTCCTCGTATCACATATCGCTACGGGAGCTTAAAATGGGTCCTAAGTAAGACTTTGGGCCTTGACACATAAGCGTAAGGTTCCACTCAAAGCTCTGTACTTTGAGCCACCCCAGCTCCTGACGCAAAAAGCCCTACAGGTTCTCGAATAGTCGCCGGGCATGAGCCTATATGTTCGGTATCCTTGCTTGCGGTTGTGGAGAGCGATGCACAACCGAGTAGTCATGAGAACACGTCAAAACCAATGGTTTGATCACCGAGACTTGCACGTCTTACAAGCCAGCACGAAACGTTCGTGGACCATCCTACAGCGGGGCTCAATCAACTTATTAAACTCTGAGGCGCTGTGCTTCGCAGGCTTAGGCGCGTAGCTGTGCAACTTAACCAGAACATGATCCGCTTCGAACGATCAGTTTTTCGATTTTCTATATAGTCAAATCTGCAAACCAACCCAAATTCTGAAGCCTTGGATGCGACTTCTTGAGAGCGGTTGCAGAAACCCAACCCGTACGTCGACAAAACGAAGCTGGGAGGACCATGGATTGCAACGACCATGGGGCCAGACCACAGATTAAAAAGCACATATATATGCATCCAAATCGAGCAAGTATACAGGCAGATTGATGCTTCAAGATTGTCAGTAGGATAAAATATGGTCTCTTGTTGGAAACAATGAAACCGACGCACGAAGCTCAGGAACGCCGACTTGCCCACATAACATAAGCACGCGGCGAAGGACTCATCACCATACGGAGGACCAATCGTTTGACCTTCGTCAATACACGCGGCATCAGATCGACGAAAAAGCGGAAGCCCATCAGCGGCGCTCCTTCGATGACGTAAGCGGCATCAGTAAATGAAACGGAACGTCATCGCCAGATAGCGCAGGCGTTTGACCTATGTGCAGCCCCATAATAGCCATTTCGCGAATCCACCTTCCCGCCGATAGAACTTCGACGATCTGGGAGGTGCCGGGGATGTACCAGACGCAGGCAGGGAGGGGCGGAATGTGAAAGCCCAAGCCGCATGACACTTGTCACTTCTGGTGAGTGTGGTGCTTAGTACGAGGCTGAATGCAACCGTCCGCAGGTTTCACCAGAAGCAAGAAATTCACTGTGAGAAAGCCTTTGTCCGAATCGGGTCCGAGCTGGATCCGACGGTCAGACAGGGCTCGGACCAGGGCCGGACTGATTCGGACAGATGACGGACAAGTATCGGACAGGGTTTCGAAGCACGCGGGACAAAGCCCCGCTTGGACCGACAGAGTTCGGACAGATCCCGGACAAAGGTCGGACCTGTGCCGGAACGAAAAGAATGTCCGAATAGGAATTTTTCGGACATGTGCCGGACATTCGCTGCTGTCTGTAGGCTGTCCGAACCATGTCCCATGTATGTCTGACATGGATCTGGCATGTTGCGCTTCATACATGATGTCCGGAACATGTCCGAGCACTGTCCGGAGACGGTCTCAACTCATTCCGAGGCGAGTCCGGATGCAAACAAGACGCGGTCGCTTTCAGCTTACATATTTTTTGTCTGCACATCGTCCGAACAAGGTCCCAAAAAAGTACGAGCCCTGTCCTGTTCCAACTTGAACGGTTCTGCTCAACGGGGATGCTACAGTGTTTCAACTTTGCTTGTCAGCGCCTGTCTCAACCCGTTCTGTGACATGTTTGATCTGGACTGAAGTCTGAAGTACCCGATTAAGCCGACATTATTGAAACTTGCTAGACGAGAGCCAACATTGAAAATTACTTCATCGTGCAACTCGTAGAAGCGACTTAACTTCACGAAACCAGCTCTTCCCGTGCTTGCTCGGCCAGGCGCCTCAAAGTTGGGGGCGCGAACGGTCGCACGAGCGTTCCGTTCTCCAGATGGTGGGCAATGGACAGGATGAGGCGGCGCACGAACTCCCTCTTCTTGGTGATCTGGGCGGGTTCGAAGATGCTCTTGTCAACCTGCAGAGACATTCGGCAGTTCTAGTGAGGCGGAATGTCAGCTTTGCTTGGCGAAGGTGTTGAAGTACTCCGGGTGAGGGAACGAAGTTTGCTGTACGGATCAATCAGATTTCGGGTGGTCTCGAAAGCTGCAGTACCAAAGAATGCAAAGAAGGACGGAGCTCTGTGGAGCGCCAGGACCCGTCCTGCAATCGAAAGCTGCAAAACTGGCGGTGTATGTCACGCCGTATCTGGACAAGAATCCTCGAATTCTCGTCGTCAGTGCCGTGCTGCCAGAAAGACCTGATGGCAGGCCTTCTCGTGCCGCCAAAAGAGTATCGAACTTACAACGACGTCCGTGGTTCGACCGGACACTAATGCAAATATACAAGGGAAGATCCGAGCGACAAGCTTTGCCGTTGAGGTTTGGTTTGTT